GAAAATGCTATGGCCTTGGGTACATTCAGAATAAAATACGTCACATGTGCCTACAAAATGTACATCGCGGTATGCGCGCTCAATCAGCGCTTACGCAGTGTGGCCCATCCACGGGACTCTCGAAAGTGGTAAAAATACTAAAAAAGCGCCCTCTGTTGTTGGCGCACGGAGCCCATAAGTAGATAAGCCTTTTCGGAGTTCCAACTGCGCGCATTCGTAGCCTGTGACAACGCACATTGTTTGTCTCAAAGTCAAATGCCCTTTGACAGTACCCACAATGCACAAACAGCCTTTTTGTAAAGTCAGTGGCGCGATGATGTCAAAGGCCATTTGAGACAAACAATGCGCGTTGTCACAGGTTACGAATGCGCAGTTGGAACTCCGAAAAGGCTTATTCTAAGGCTGCATCCAAAGTTCATGGCTATGGCTACATGTATGGTGCAAGGGGTTCAGCATGAGGCTGTGTGTAATTGTTACTAGGCTAGGCTATGGCTTCCAGTTAGACATGCATGCATGTACGTACGCAAGCAGCTGAAGCAAATTCCATGCACAATAGACACATGTACATGTATGTGTTTACTGCCTACCCCAGCCATAATTTTGACCAGCCCCAGGTAATGTACATGCACAAGCACCATGTATAGTTTTCTTTGTATACTTTGTGCATGGGATACAATAAAGGTTTTCAATTTGAAAAAAAAAACACTGTGTAATGAACCAATTTCCATTACCAGTAATACCACTAAAGAATAGGTGTGTGCTGTACCCATTTGATGAACAGTCAACATTGCGCTCCACTTCACAATGTTACACATGAGCCAACTTGTCTGTAGATATTACATAACACCCGCTGTAATCCCCCCAATGCTCCAACCATAGAGAAAGGAGGTGCTCTCCAACCATACTCAACCATTCACACCTGCAATGCACAAACCCAGCGCTTTGTCCTCTTTGCATATTGTTATTCCAATATGTACCAACATCACACAAACTTAACGCTAACCAGTGAACCACGGTCTGTCTAATTACTTCACACTTTGACTACCACTGTGACAGGAACAAAGAGAAACACAAGGGCACTCAGCAGACATGGCCCAAATTTTATGGCTGTGCTTGTTGTAAGCAAGAAATTGCTGCTTTGTTCTATATCAGAAAAGCTTTGCTTGTAGTTAAGATTTTTCACATGGAATCAGGGCTCCAGAGAAAACTCTTGGAATGCTAGGCAAGAATTGTCTACTTCAAGATATGCACAAATCAGAAATAAAAATTAACCCTCCTGCTATCTGAACAGTCACAGACAGTCCAAAAATCAATCATCTTCCCCTGCCATGCCTTTTTCACACACTTGTCCCCGCAGTCAGAACATGTATTTCCAGCAAGCACTGTGACTAGTCAAATTCAGTCAACAGACAAAAGCAGACAAGTGGTATAGCTGTATCAAGTTATGTACATAAACAGTCACAGCCAGTCAATCCTGCTTTATGTAGGCTGGGAGCTCTCAACTGTTGATAACAGCTTGATTGATTTTGCTTGAAAGGACAACTTGGCACAGAATGTATGTTTGCATGGGTTGTGGACATGGTGAAATCATTCTCTGATGATACTCGAAGCTGTACTGAAGTGCTACTGCAATAATTCCTATAAAAGTTTTCCATGAATTTTTTTTTTAACCCAAACCTTCTCAAATCCTCCAAAATCCTCTTTGCAAAATGGAGGATTTTGCAGGATTGAGGCTATGGGGGCTATGGCAAAAATGTGTGGCTGATTTTGCAGGATGTACTGCGTCAAGGTCTTGGGCCGGACCTTGTGTTGTTCATGCTCAGCCTAGATTATACTAGAAATCCTCCGCACTGCTCCAGGATGTCACTGGCTCTGCCTCAACATATCGACAGTGATTGCTGGAGGATTTTGCAGGATTGAGGCAGTGGTCACCCCTCCAAGGACCACATTCAAGAAATAACACATTCATGAAAAACTGTTCAAAATGGATTCAATATTACACTAAACCAATATTGGCAGCCCTTACACTTGCAGATATCACTTGTTCACCATTGCGCTCCATTGTGAACATCAACTTGGGTGGAAAAAATGAAGATGGTCAGATAAGCCAGAGGCCATTGTGCATCAATAATGCATCCACCGAGCCTCCGACTTACAAACGAACCAAACGAACACTGCTGCCGGACTTCTCACACGAGTCAATGATCACTACAAGAGAGTGACGACCTGTACGCACCTAAACGCCCTCTGGCGTTACAACGGCAAACGGCCAATCCTGATCAAGGAGGGAACCCGCAGTGACCATCGACCACTGCAATGCTCAGTCAATCCATGGCACAGAATTACACCCTAGTTCGCATGTCTCGGTACGGTTCTGACAGCTGACGATGCCTGGCGCAATTGGATCTAGTCCTCATACTCAATTTGCCACACTTTTAACCCAATTGCGCTGAAAGATCACCATCAGTACACGGATGCATGCATGCTTAATATGACTTTGGGTTTAACTTGGGAATTCTTTGGATAAGAAACCAGCTCCATTCCCTGAACCACGTGTATACATGTAGCCCATGTACTTTTTTAGTTCCATGCTTACGATCTTGTCACTCCTTTTTCACTAATAAGCCCCTCCCATTCTTTCTTTTTAAGCAAAGCTGGATTAATAGACATTGTATGGAAATTGCCCAAAATCTCATACAGGAAGAAGTGATTCTTTAAGCTGCATGTAGCAGCTCGTTAAATCATCATGTCTCTCCGTTAGTTAATTAGTTAGTTCGTTAGTTACCAACAAACGTGGACATCGTCTATTGCTACATCCATTGTATTTTCAACAACTTTGTCAAAAGTATCATTAGCCCAGCCCCAACATGTCACATGACTGGGGTCAAAGGTCATCATGGGGTCACTGGGATCAAAAACCCGATTTTGTTTAAAATCAAAACACTACTCCTTCCAGAAATTACATGGCAAAAGTACGTGACTCATGCATGAACGCGAATTTGCAGCTGAAGATCCGATCGAGCTCGCTTTTTAAAGGCATGTCTACACACATTTGTACATCTGGCCGAGTTTTGACATTTTTCCCTCTACATAAATTTACAGTTTACAATTTACATGTACACAGAAAATTGAGATCACACAAACACATGTAGATGGCCAAAAAAAAAACTTGCTCTTCGTTATTGAAAAAAAGTACCGGTAATAGTCTCCTAATAGTACCCAGTGAGTGTGCGAGTTCGTAATTAAACTTGACAATAAATTCTATGCAACGAAAAAATGGCTTTATGCTCCAAAATAAGCAAGTACTGTACCTTTATTTCCATATCACCTCATTTATTGGTCCATTGATTTTCTTTTAGAATTAATCTGTAAGAATGGTATTTTGTGGTTTTGTGAACAGATGTTTGGATAGGTGGGGACCACAAACTTCCATAGCGCTGGAGCCAGTGTGCAACAAAGGGCACATTTTTCCATCAGTGATCACTGGTAATGTGTAGGTCATCCAAATAACAAAGCATGAATCATCACAGTTTGAGGTATGACTCCAAATCGCAATGGTCCTTGATACCACTCTAATAACTTACAAACATTAATACTGTAGTGCATGTGTTCAACAAATTATAAACTGTCTCTAAAACCTTTGGGTTTTTCATTCCCATTTGAATCCCATACAATTTAACAACAGCAAGTTGTAAAGCCTGCTGAATCACATTAGTGTCCAACAGCATCGATAAGGTAGTTGCCTTAACCATGGAGAAATTTCTCCATGCCTTAACTGTAAAAGATCCCTACTGAAAAATACCCACATTCAGATATTGATGGATTTTTTAGGATTAGAGTTAGTTACATGAAATTCTGAGAGATATTGCGTGATATCTATGTCAGAACATCTGACACAAATAGAGGAATTTGTCTAAGCAATTGTTTACAAAGTTAGGTTTATCAAGACCCTGCGCCCCCCCCCCCCCCCCCCCCCCATTTCAAGACAAGCATACTGACTGAGGATGAGCTTGAATTTACTACTAGTACTAACAATTCTGCAAAGGTTTCACAACAAAAAATATGTTCTTTCTTATTTTTAAATGAAAAGTTTATAATTGAGTTGGAGATATTTTAGGGAGAGTCAGTTTCTGAATATTCTGACAGAAGATAAAGTGAAAAAAAGGCAAGTATAGTTTAGGTTAGTATACTTTAGTAGGATTCTTGACAATTTTTCTCAAATGAATTTACTCAAACTCAGTCTCAATTTGTATAAGTTGAATGTTTTGAAACTTGTCATCTCCAAAATAAAAAGGTGTGATTATGTGCAATCTGGTGTGAACTTTTCTCATAACAACAGTTTAGCAATTCAGTTTACATAAAGTTAAAAAAAAAAATTAAAACATCCACTTTTTTTTAATAAATAACTTTTAAACAACAAGAAGTCACAAAGCAATTTTTTTACAGAAGAAAGACTGAGAATGCCGAGTAGTAACACGTCAATTGGAAACAAGATAGCGTCAAAACATATTTTTTAATGTTATACACAAATTACAAACAATACCATTTTATTTTCAAGTTAACTTGGTTTTTCCCTACAATTAGCCTTCCAGCACAGTGTGATTTCCTTGTGAACTGAGCTGAGCGAACGTGGAGACGAACAAAGGCATTTAAATACGTGTACGGCATCAGGGCCACACCGCGGACAAAGGCCGGGCGAAGGCCAAACTCGCGACCCGGTCAAGACAAATAAAATGTGATAAAGATTTTGTAGAAAACTGTAGATCTTACAAGGATTTAATGTTGAAGAAAACTTTGCTCAAAGTGTACAAGATTAGACCAGGGAATACTGGGCGAAGTAAGGAAAATTGTGAATTAATAATAAGTTTTCTAAGGCAGTTGGTAGGGGAGTGATCACCGATCAGACACGGCATGATCGTGTGTACGTGTGATATCGTATGACCGAAAAGGCCGTGCACCGTGAAACGTACGAGAACAAAGAAGGGGAAAGGATAACTCACCAAACCACGCCAAAAGCACCATAACCGATGGGTCTATCGGGCTCAAAATCCCGCCTAGATAAGCTGGAAGCTGTGGCAGCACTCTGGTAGAAGGTCTGGGTTGCACTGAGGATGGCATGGTCCCGAGGAGTCCCCGTAAAAGCCATTTGTCTGGCCGCTATCCGCGACCCACACACTGCCATCACACACAGTCCACAAAGGCCCCCGTTGGCCGCTGCGTTGGCTCCGGTGAACTAGGGGCTGGCTACACGGTCGTCTCGCCGTACGCTGTTTTTTCAAGCTCTATTCCCGGCCGATACGGGTGCAAAAACCGGGCTCGATGTATCACTTCTGCGCCGCGTGCATGGCTGCAGATTGCACAGTTTGTAGGGTAGACTCCTGGCAGTGTACACACGGAGTAAAAAGGTGGCTTACGGCGGGCAAAAGTGGAGAAAATATCGCCGAATTGGTGTAAAGTCTTGGCGACCACTGATGCACCAGCCGTAGGCTGCCAAGCCTAAGCATGCACAGCGGGCCGATCACACACAAAGCAATTTCTTATGCACGCAAATAATACGCACGATGCGTACGCTATGAATATGGAACGAGTCATGTGGACCTCGAGTACAAAGAGCATAAAAGGCAAAAAGGCCATGCTGTCAAGTCTCGCGAGATTGTACGTGGCTTGGTGAGTAATTTATCTGGAAGCGGCTCCTTCCTTGAACTGCTGTGACGGTCGCTCTTCTCGAGATAATTTCATTGAACTCTTTCGTACTTCCTGTTGTTGTTTTCTTTTGCTTATTTAGAGTTTCGTCATTCACTGAAAATGAAACGAAAATGTATACTCAAATTCCGCTTTAAGTGTTTGTACACCCCAAAATACGAAGAAAATTAAGAGATCGCAACCGAGAAAATTTCATCTAAGTTGAACCCGATATGGTTGAACCATCCGGGAGGTAAGGAAAGTTCTCCATTGAACACAAAATTGTGAAATTCTTCGAGTCATTGTACGTTTGCATTCGCGAAAACACTTATCTGCATATCCCTAGGTTGATCATCATACCACATCACTCACGATCCTGCATCTTTCTTGCCTTCCTCACACCGGACCGATCAAGAACTTAAAGTGATTTTTAAACATACATCTCAAGATGACACTAAAGAAAATCAAATCAGCACAGGACCAACCCATATAAGCCATGAAGTTGTGGAGGGGTAGATTTTTACAAAATTTCCGGGGTAATGCACCCGAACCCTGAAAAATAGCTAGCAGGGCGTGTAGCCCCTTATACTCAAAGTCAACCGGCTCAAGTTCTTTCTGAAAGCTAGATCCGCCCGCCCCTCAGAAGGCCCACCTAAGTATAAGTTGAATACCCACCCTCACACCAGGCTAGCTGGCTTTCAAGGGCCTAAAAATTAAGGATTCGTAAGATAAGACAAGCAAAAATCGGGCAGGGCTGGGATTCTAATTTCTGCCATGCCCAAAGTCCTCCCCCCGTGCCTACTCTGTGGTCAGCCGGCCCCTCACTGATGAAGACTCGCATAGTATCCCTTGCATGGTGCGCCCCCCCCCCCCCCCGACTGATGGCATGTAGTTTTGTTATATGAATTCAGTGATAATGTGAAAGTACATTTTGTCTACTCATGCATAATATCACAGAGGAACAAAGACCTGTCCTTAGATGTGATGTCACATGCAAGGGGTCTATTTACCGAAAGTGGGCGAAAGTGGGTGTAAGATTTGTCATGTCATCTTCTTTCAAATTTTGTAGCAGTTGAAAAAAGTATGAAATTTAAATTATTCCATTCAAAAAGGAATAATTTAAAGGACGACTTTTTAAAACTTAAATCAAAGTGTAAGGAATCGGGACAACACCATTTCCTCCGGCACTTTACGCCTTCTGTCGCCGGTGCCGGCCATGCATGCAGTACTCAGTGGGCCTGGGGACCCCTACGGCCAGTCGTAAACGGGATACGGCGGGATTCCAACTTCCCGTTATCAGCACCAAACATCCGCATCAGTAAACTTCCTTGTTACGTGCGCTTTTTCAAGTAACGTCTTATATCGTTGCAGTCACCATAGTCACCAAGTCAACACAGTTGTTGTCAACAATCATGATTTAGCAAACATTACGGTTGTGGGGAAATTGATAACTGGAAACTAATGGTAGGGATTTTCGAGGGTAAAACCATGATAAAACAAAACACATCTAGCCTAAAGCCCACGGATACGGAACAGGATAACCGAACTCCCCTCGCTATAATGTTACAAATAGTTTCCCGCACCATTTCTGGGTTTCACCCTGAAAAAAATTTCCCCCCTTCAGTTTCCTAGAAATCTAAAAGTTGTTCACTGCACTGATGAGACACGGAACGAAAACATCAACCGACGACAGAATTGTTTCTTCTCCCAAAAACTGATTTATTTTTTTTCAATCGGCTCTTGCAGATAAGCGGGTTCATTTTGTACGCAAAATGAAATTCATTTTCCCCAGACGGTTGCAGACGCCCCGCAAATCGGAATAAACATTTTGTTTGTCATTGCAACAAAACATACAAATTGAAAATTCGTTTGGCGAAAAAAAAGAGAACACGGGGTAGGCTATCTATCCTCGGAACCCTTTAACTTTGGGGCACTTTTTGGGAGTTTTTAAGCAACGGGAATCGGAGGGCCGGGAGCGAATGCGAGCCTTCTCTGCACTTGGTTTTAATCCCCAAAAGGAATTTTCTTCAATGTGCAGCTCGAAAAAAAAAAGGATAAAAAAAGTCAAAACAGTACTTGGAAAAGTGGGACTTGAGCTCCTTATTCAAACTTCAAATGTTGTTTTTCTGATCGACTTCAAACTTGGCACGCGCACACACATAGACCATTACCCGAAGATGGTCCGCGAAGATTTTCGTCATTATGACGACATCGTGTGTCACGTGACGTCACATTAAAGATATATAACTCACATTTGTGCCACACTCAAAAACCAAAACGTTCAAGTCGCTCTCCCTGTGCCTTTTTTCAGTTTCACCCCAAAGTATAGAGGTTTATTTCTTTATAGCAATACAAAAGTTATTCACTTTAAGATGGATGAAGCATCACACGAAAAAAAAAATCCACCTAGTATGTGGTATTGTTATAGAATAATTCACAAATTTTGATATTTTGGTTTGGCCCACCGAAACTAATTAAGGCGTTTGTATTATTCCTCAGAGGCGCAAAGAATTCAAAATTGAAAAGCCTTTTTTTTCAGATGGTTGCACTTGAAAAAGTGACGTTTTCGTTATATACAAAAATTAAAAATTCGGTTTCGAAATTAAAAACACGAGTTTGTTGATGACTACGAAAGAGCAACAAGTAAAGCTGGCGATCTAGGGAACCAAGTCGGTGAAAAACTCCATTGTGCATAACCAATTTAAAGAAAAACAACAATATTTCGTTGACTCAAATATAATGTCCAGATATTTGAGGTCATCATTGATACACAAATAGATTCGGTCAATTTCTGTTTTCAACAAAAGCCTTTTCTCCCATTTTTTTTCTCCAACCAGCTGGTCCTGGGATTAACGTGGCTGACGGTACAGTCACAGGGACGCCTGGGCCGTGCATTGTTCCTCCTGTTACCGACCTTGGGCCTCGTAGTAGTATTGTTCACTTTTTAACGGTGTCTCAACAACACCTGTCAGTATATGTTTGTCGGCGAACGAGATCAAATTTCGATCAAATTAAAATTTGTTATATGAATATGCCGATGACTATTTATTATGAAGGAAGGAACGCAGTAAACTGTGCGATATTTCAATTTCCCGGCTAGATCTTGAGCATTTCGGGATGCAGGTTTCGGGATTCGTTCATTTCTGATTTCTGACTAATTTCCATCTATAAAAACCTGTTGTTTCCCACAATTATCATCTATGGCTACGAAATCAGTGTGTATTCATGAGGGGATAAAATAACTTCATAATATATGGAACAATGAAGCGAAACCAAATATTAAATCGAGTTGGCAAAAGAAATTAATATTTACTAGCTTTACTACATGTACATAATCCATTACCTCTCCCGCATTGCATAATTGTCACTACAGAGGGCGCTGTTTAATCCCACTGGTTTCGCATTAGCAATGTCATCTGATGGCCCCTAGCTTTCCACGGTGTTTCAAGCACTGAATTGTATATTTCCAAACATAACAATATGTATTTTAGACCATTGAAACTTTCGAATTGCTTTACATTCAAAATCAAACCAAAACATCTGAATCAAAACAAACCACATTTATATACAAAAATCATTCTTGTCACATTTATTTCGTCAGAGACAATGACCATGACTTTAGACATTTTGTCGTCACTATGTATTTCCTGAACACCTTCAAGGAAACTGAAATATAAACCAGCATCCAGGCCATCACATCCCACAAGGGGGTATTCCATTGTCTATCAATCAAAACAACTGACATCAAGAGAAACAGATATTCAATTATTACAAACATAAAGCCATATTGCTTTTAAATCTATACTTCTCAATTTACCAATGGGCAAATTTTCAAGCAAAAAAAACTACTACCCATTAACAACTGTACTACAATGTAATACATTGTGTTAATTTGCTGATTTTTTTTATTCACAATAGGCTGTTTGGGGCAGTACAGGGAATAACAGGCAGGGCAATTTCGGGCAGTAAAGGGCCCATGTAATGGAATAAATTTTAAAAAAATACAATCCTTAAAATGTACCTTTGTGTTCGATTTCACTTTATTTGCAATCTTTGTTTTGCCATTTAAAGGGCGCTTTGGTACTTTTTGGTTTTATGCTAATGCAGATTTCCATATTCATGAGCAAAACTGTGATGTCATTCAGTGCAGAAACCCTCAGTTTCACATCTGCTTCAGCATAACAAGTCACCCCGAATTTTTGGATTTTGCTGTGGTTACTTTTCTGCTTTCAGTGGTTCACTGTTGTCTTAGCAGTACAACATTGAAGAAACTTTATTCACAAATATTTTCAATAAGCAGAATTTGGGGTTAACAACTTGAAGAGAAAGTCCCCTTATCTAAACAGTGCGTTCCTGAATTGACATAATAGCAAAATCGTCCTCAGATGTCAGAAAAAGCATGAAACATTTGTAATGTTGAATAAGGTGCACTTTGCAAAAACATTTTACCAAAAAAAAGGACGTCTTGTTTTTATACATATCAGAGGAATGTTTATTTGCTACAATATGCTCCAGTGTAAACTTTGTTTCATTTGGAGTGCCATGGCCTGTGGCCTGGAGCATTGAATTTGTGGTCTGCGGGTAACACTGCAGGTCGTGGGTGCAAGCCCAGCCTGGGGTTATGGTGCGTGTGCCCTTGGGCAAGGCACTTTGTCACTCATTGCTTCTCTCCACCCAGGAGTAAGTGGGTACCTGTGAGGGCAGAGATAGTTATTTTGGTTGGATTTAGCTGCATTGCACCAAAATAGCAACACCCAATTGTACACTCCCCAGGGAGCTGAGATGGTCGTTGGAATGTTTCATTGGCCCAATGAGCAGGGTAATAATGATGTAGCGCCTTGAGCACCAACACTGGTGGATATGTTCGCTTTATAAATACACATTTTTTATGGACCCTTTAATGCAAGGATTCCTCAATAACTTCCTCAATACATAATTCACAGAAAAACAGGGTTAGGATGTTGAGGGGGGGGGGCATTTCACATCCCCGAATTTGTAAACTGCCATCTAGACTTCTTTGAAGTTTCTTTACCCCATTCCAAAACAGGTTCAAGTCCATACCCTACAAAAAATGTTGCACAGGTTTTGAGCTTCAGTTCTACCGTCAGTAATTCTCTGGGAAGTAGTCGATGGGTTGTTGGAAGTCCGTGATGGATCTGGGTTCGCTGAGCACCAAGCCGCCATTCTGTAGTGCCTTCAAAAAAACATCAACCTGAGAGGGAACGAATAAATTCATAAAAAGTTACAAAAAAATAGAACAAGTTCATGAAACAAAGTAACAAAAAGGTTTTTTTTGTATGCATGTTGTATGTTAATGGAGGCTCTCCCAATTATTAATTAACCCTATACGTTAGAATGACATTTTTCACGCATAGCTCCAGGACCATACTACAGTTTGTAGTACACATTATAATGGGGTCCAAATTCACTCAACTATTTGCTGTCTATCAAATTTAGATGGTAAGGTGTTCAATAGACTGCAAACGCCCCTTCCTTGAGCTTGCCGACTAGTCTTGTTGACGGGAGGATTGATTATCCATACCCTGCAGTGAGGCTGACTAGACTCACTATGAGGATTTTACTACACACACATACATACATGTGGTTCTTGTCAGAGGGCTGGGGTTTGGCTAGGATTTTCAGGGTCAATATTTCAACTCCAGTGAAAGGGCTCTCATCACTTTATTTGGCTGTGTTTGAATGAGGAACTTGTGAAATCTAAAAAAAAATTGACCTACAAATGATGGCGTAATTCAAAAATTAAGCAAGTATGATGCCTGTGCAAGGGTTAATTGCTATTGGCCTTGTATTGGGGTGACACTTATAAAAAAAAACCCAAAACCAAAAAACAACAACGAACCCGTTCAAACGATTTGGTCTTGGCATCGATGTTGCAGTGCACGTAGCTGATGCCAGACTCCAGACACCTCTGTGCCAGGATGTGGCCGATGTTCTCAGCGGCCGCTACGTCGGCCGTGCTGTACAGGTGTTTCTTGATGGCCCATTCCTTGGTGGAAGCGCTGACGACAATGTCGCCGTTGTAATGCTGGATGTAGGCCTTGGTGTGACGGTTGGACTTCTCAAAGTGTAACCTGGGCAAAGAAATCAAGAGAAACATGTTGCTTTGGTTCAAGAACGTTTGTGTACAGTCACTTTAGGTTTGCAAAAGCACACGTGTGGTGCACCAGAGATTTTGCTTTAGCCCAGCCAAAACTGTGAGCAATTCTCTTCATGAAAAGTTCATTTCTCAGTCAACATATTATCAGAAAGAAAATGTACATTGTGAAGTTCAATGGTTGATTGTTTTAAGCCAATTTTTGCTCAGTTAAAACTTTTCTCTTAGCTACTCCATAACATGCTACCTTTTGTCAGTTTTATTCTATGAAGCGAATGTTCAAAACATAGGGTACATCTGCAACTTACTAATCCCATCCCTCTCTCCCCCCAAAATTAATAAGTTTTCCTGGCTAAAAAAATGGGGGGGGGGGGGAGTTTGGAGAAATGTTGGTTTATTGAATATCAAAAATGTCTATCCCCATTCGGCCATCGCCAAAAATGTTCCTAACTGTCCATGGGAGTCCAACCTTTCAACTTTCTCCCACTGAAATGTTTTTCTTTATTTGGAAACTTTTGGGTTTAAAAAAGTTGTTGCCTCATTGGCGAAATGTTCTGTTACCACTGATTGACAGAGACACAATACAATGAGCAAAGCTAAAGTATAAACATTCCCGCACTTGTGCCAGTAGTTCTTCTTTGGATGGGACCGGTACCAGCCCTTGTCCCTCCGTGCCACTGCCATCCTCTCCAGATTGCGGGGGTTGCGGTTGACAAAGTCTGGCGAGACTACATCGTTCTCTGAGAGTCTCTCATCGCTCGCTGGTGGTGTGGCTGAATCCTCCTGGGGTAGTGCTTGCGTGGTAGCCTCAGAGATGTGTAGACCTCTCGCTAACGGTGTGGGAGTGCGACCTTGATTGACATCAAAATATACAATTCATTAAAACCAAAGGAAATGTCTGGCCTACCCGATCTTTATCATTCCAACCCACAGTAATTTGATGACCATACTGAATTTTCAGGTGGTGTTGAAAAGTGCATTCCCCGTGCTATTTTCGAGTTTTACTTTGAAAAATAGAGTTGTTTTTTCCACAGCTATTTTCTTAGCAATATTATGATATACTCACTTTTGTATGAGACATCAAACAAAAATATCCACCGATGTATAGTTAGGCCCTATAGAATTATTTCTACACAAAATTGAATTATTTGCTGCCAGACAATAATTTGCAAGGGACCGGTGATTCATTTGTGTGCAACTAAAAGCCCTCTTTGCTGAGGTTACCTATGCCCAAGAGCGGAGTAAATTTTTTTTGTCCATTTATACAAAACCTATAAACTGAACATTATTATTTTTAAATAGCACCGGGTTTTCAACCAAAAGGACTTATGCACCTATAAAAAAATGTTCTCACCCCCCCCCCCCCCCCCCTGCACTGCCCCAGGTCCAATGTCGGGATTTGGTCACGTTTTTCGGGGATTGGTCGGGGGATTGTCACTTACATTTTGCCCGAGGGGTGGGGATTTTGTCACTTCAAAAGTGAAAATACCCACATCTTGGGTGGGGCAGCAGGGGGGGGGGGGGAAATTGATAGGCCTAGTAATAGGCGCAATAATAATCAAAACCTTTTTTGACGGAAGTGTGTGGTAGGCCTAACGGAATAAGTTGTTTTAACACAGAACTGTGGGACAGTCTCCACCGTTTACCCTTCAAATGGAATGTTTTGTGGTGCAAACTTTTTCATATTTCTAGTCTGGAAGGAGTGGAACAAATGCAGCTTGCTTTTCGAGTGAGAAATCAATTTATGCAATAGCGCCCTCATTCATGGTTTCAGCATTCCCCACACCACCCCCCCAAATGTCAATATTCTACCAACCTTTTACTGCCCAACGAAGGCTATTTGTTCCTCTCCAAACAGCATAGGTAATCGAGCGTAGCATCTTCTTGACTCGGTCGGAATTTTGATTGGAATTCAAACAATTTTAGGACGAATTTTGCCCCAAATTTCCCCACGTTGTGTTACTTCCCGAGCCTCACCGCCGCCATATTAGAGTCACGTCAATTGAGGGCGCTATTCCTGAAAAACAGCAGTTGTGAAATTGCACGTGGCCGGCTGTGGATTGACTGACTGGTTGTTGTCAATTTGTTTTGATCATCGTAAAATTTAAAGGACCAATTAATCATCGTTAACATACAAATTGTTTTAATCAACAGTAAGTAAGGAAATAATGTAGTAAAAGTATCCAGACGCCACTTCTTTGGTTGTGTACAAAGTCTATGGAGAGTTGCATGCAATAAATTTGTCAAGTGTTTTTAACAAAATTGGAAATGTTTCTCAGTCATTTTGTCAGTCCCAGATTTTCATTTCTTTCCCACATTTTTGTAATGACTGACCTTCATTGAGAAAATATATAGTGAAAAAAGTGGCGTTAGGTTGCAACATTCTTTCCGTAAGGGATAAGACTATACGTTACGTATACTTTTTGTTTCTTGTTTAAGCATGGAGGAATAAGCAACCTTATTCAAACGTCAAAATTCTGAAGTTGACAAATTGACACTCATAGACAGTGTTAGACAGAGTTGTTGGGCTGCAATTAAACAGAATCGATGGATCAGTTTGCCCCAAATACAAAGGCAATAGCAGTGGCCCCTTCTAGTTCTATTTTCTTGTATTGCATGTTTTCAATACCTTAGGTTTTGGGACTCTCATAGTCATGCGCAGTACTGAGAGTCCCAAATTTTCGGACTGATCATGTATGATGTTACTCCTAGAACTATGAGGCTCCACGTAGTGGAGCGGCTTGATTGCGCAAACACCAAGTCAATGATTTGTACAATGTTTGTTAGGTCCGAAGTTTAGAAGAATGTGGGACGTGTCAGGAAATTTGGTGGTGAAAGTTGTTTTTCGTTTCAAATTGTTTTGTGTGCATGGGATGTCAAATTTGCATCTCGGAATCCATTTGAAGTAAGAATTACTGATACATTATATATAATTTGCCTCAGTGTAATCAATAGATTAATATCTTTTCCACTCCCCCCCCCCCCTTTTTTTCTTAGCCACATCAGAGGATGGAGGAAGAAGGCGAACGTATCTTGACACAGTTTGTCTCAGAGACCGGGGAAACGACAGGCGACCCGTTCGATCTGCCAGTCAATGTCACCACAGAGAAGCTGCAGCTGATATGCAACGCCATACTACAGAAGGTGAGAATGTTAAACCCCAACTATAGCAATGGCCCCCACTATCCTGGGCTGGATATTCACTAGATGAAGCAAGTTTTCACAGTAGCTAAAAGATGCAGATATTTCAGCTCCTATCTGTTGGCCTTCCCCAAACTGGAGAGCAAAACAAGGGCCTTGGAGCCATCGAGCCAGTGAGTAAGATACTAACTGCCAAATCACTCCCAAACGTTTCATTTTATACAACGCCAAACATATTTGTTGGGATTAACCACACCCAGACTCTAACAGACCAATAGCATTGAAGCTCTTCAATTCTTAAACCATTCTTCAACTGGCATTCTTCACATGTGGGGTTCATGTGAGCTATTTGCATGTTTAAACCAAGTAAGGAACAGAGTTCTTTGTATTACTCCCAAGCAAGCAAATCTTTTCCTTGTGTGGTGGTTAACAAAAGACATTTCAACACCCAAATGCACATTGCTTAAAGTGGCAACTAGTGTCAACTCCGCAATTGAATTTGTTGCTTACAGCGAGTTTCAATTATAACAACCAATCTTATCCAATTATGACAAAAAAACTTATAAGGTCATAATCTAATAGATCCCGTGGTAATCTCGAAGGGCATTTCATTGAAAATACGTCTCATCATGCTGTTGCATTCTAAAACGGTCTATGGTTTGAAGTATCTCTTTCATTTAATACCCAATTTGTCTTAAAGGAGGAGGCAGTACCATACTCTTTCTTTGTGAACGACGCCGAGGTCACCACTAGTCTCGAGGAGACGTTGAAGACTCAGAAACAAGAGACAGAGAAGGTGTTGAACATCATCTACCAGCCCCAGGCCGTCTTTAGAGTCCGGGCCGTGACCAGGTGCACCAGTTCCATTGAGGGGCACGCGGAGGCTGTCATCTCTGTTGCGTTTAGTCCAGACGGCAGGTGAGTGGAATGGACAGAAAATTTGGGACGCTCAAAACTTTGTGTTGAGAGTCTCAGAACTTCAAGAGAATGGAAATATGTAATACAGAAATTAGAGTGGCGCATGCAAGACCAGCATTTCTTCAGTATTGCATAAGGAAAGTGTGTTAACCACTTTGCGCCAGGTTTATTTTTGCCGACAATTTCAAAATTTTCAAAAGGCAAAATGTCCCACCCAACTTCTGATATACAGTCAAACGCCACAAATACTGATTCGCAAGAGTGATTTCAATAGTATTTGTACGGTATTTCTTGCCGAAACCTGATATGTTTCAACACTCCGGGGTGTAAGCATAAATTGGACAACAATAGGCCATGCACAACAGCCCACACAGACAACATGGACTTTGTGTTTGTGTACAAAAGGCTGGAAGGATTAGCGTGTTTAGACGTCAGCCGGAGGCGAGTTGAGGCGATCTTGACGTCTTAACCCGTCAGCCGTGCCTGTGCACAAAAACAGCCAGTGCGTGTTATCACGGCCTCCGGCGCGAACTGGTTAAAGGAAAACGTCTGGTTCATAGAGTAGTCAAGAGTAGTCAAGACAAGTCACCTACGTGACCCTACGTGATTTGACTTGTGAAATCTTGACTTTTAATTCACTTGTGTATGACACAATGACAACTCTAGTGCTTCTATTGCTATATGATCCTTCCACAAGTCATATCATTGACTACTGAATGAACTGCTAGAAGCTGTGGATAATGTATGTGGTTTGCCATCAGCTTGAATCCTAGACATGGAAACTTATGGTCCACATCCTTTCTGCAGCATGTCACAGTCTGGTGCAGCCTACCTCTGTCCAGGCATTGCACTTCAACATGCCGATAACCTGTCCGTTCAGATTAGGCCCTTGGTCTCCGTCAATCTTCCTCAATCTCTTAAAAACACTCTTTCCAGGTACCTGGCCAGCGGATCAGGTGACACCACGGTGAGGTTCTGGGACGTCAACACAGAAACACCGCATTTCACCTGTAAAGGTAAGACTGGTAAATTGTGGAAGACTGCCATAACCACTTTCTGATGGGCCTAAGCCACTTGTGTCCGAGTTTTATGGCTACGGCTAGCAGTAACGCACATGTCTATGTTCAGCGGCTTCCATAGACATGTGTGTAATTACAAGCCGTAGCCAAGCAATTTGAACGTGGCCTAAGCTTGAACTGCTAGCTAACTCACTTCAGTTTTCTGTTCTGTCTTTTAGGACATAAACACTGGGTTCTGTGCATAGCCTGGTCACCAGATGGACGGGTGCTAGCCTCAGGTTGCAAAAATAGTCAGGTATGTTAAAGATGTGTCTTAAAGGAGCACCTTTACCAGAAAAAAAATAACAGTCATTGTTATCGTAATTACCATCTCATTTTTGAGATTTTTTTGCTGCTAAATTAAACTTGTGTCATTGTTCTTTCAACCATATGAGCTCAAACTGTTAGTTGACTTTTTTACAAGTTTCGAATTTTTTGGGGAAGTTGAATTAACTTTCTCCCTCCTAACTTTTTAAAAGTACATATTTAAGTTGCATCATTTATGTTACTTTTTCTTTATTTATTTTTGACTTAAGAAATCAGTGAATGAATTATCATAACTTATTCTATCAAGTTTCTGGTACATTTTCTTCTGGCAAGTTTTTTGTAGCTTTGGATTTAAGAAATCAGTGACTGAATTTCCGTATGAACTTATTCTATTAAGTTTCTGGTACATTTTTTCTGGCATTTTTTTCTGTGATTTTGGATTTAAGAAATAAGTGAATGTACATGTATTACCATAATAATTTATTCTAAAAAGTTTTTAGTACATTTTTTGGAAGTATTTTCTGTGTGATTTTGGACTTGAGAAATCAGTGACTGAATAACCATAACTTATTCTGTACTGTTTCTGGTCACGGTACAGATTCTTTTATGGAATCCAGACACCGGCAAGCAGGTCGGCCGGCCGCTGACCGGCCACAGACAGTGGATCACAGCGCTGGCCTGGGAACCGCTACACAGCAACGCCAACTGCAGACACCTAGCCAGCTCATCAAAGGTAGAAAACCAAGGCCAAAATGACACGTAGCTTCTAAGCATGAAGATTTATTAAGCATGGCCCAGGGCATAAGTTTCTGCTTACTGAGCCTCAGTCTATTCACTGAGATCACAATTATAAGCAGTAAGCACATTTAAAGGCACGCTTACCTCAGAAGAAAGGTTGCTTAAATTCATGACATAACAGACATCACCATGTCACGGTGCATGCAAGTGTTATCATGTCTACACCAACGAAATATGATTACAGTTAGGGGTGTGCCTTTCTGGGTAGTACGGGAACCGGATACCCGGTTGAAAAAAACAAGGGTACCCAGGTACCCGTTAAAAAAAACCAACCCAAAATTCAAATCTGATTTGGACAATTTGTTTTCTTACTGTTTGTTTTTTCAAAATCATATATTGTGGCCTTCATATCTTAGCTCATTATGCAATGGGAAATAGTTTAATAGTGGTAACAAGCAAGACGAAAATCTCCAAGTTTAAAAAAAAATATTGAAATTTTGTGCAAAGGCAAATTTGACAAACTTCATCCTTTTATGGTTGTGTTGCACTAAAGAAAATTTTCTTTTGGCGGGAAAATAATTCAAGTTTAAACCTTCGTTTCGTTCACCCAGGATGGAACAATACGTATCTGGGACGTCGTGTTAGGAACATGTCTTCGGTCTCTATCGAGCCATCTACAGTCGGTTACGTGCGTCAAGTGGGGCGGAGAAGGGTTACTGTATACGTCATCTCAGGACAGGACTATCAAAGTATGGAGGGCAGAAGATGTAAGTATAGATACTTCAAAAAAATAAATAGTGGTCATATCACCTTGCCTTTAGAGAGTTGTTACAAGGCATGATGTCATGTTTAATGTGTTAAATATTCTGTTGTTACTGTTTTTGCTGAATCTGTTTTGTTTGTTTCATGTATATCCTTGTCATTTCCATAATTTGAAAGAATTGAAATAAATGTGGTGTTGAAACAAATCGTGAATTTGTCATTCTTGCTGCCAAATCTTCAACCTCAGCCAGTTTAATAACGTGTTCTGAAAGAGCAATTAGGGCAAGTTAGAACTGGCTCTTTAAGTTCCTTCAAGACATGAAATCTTGTGCATTATGGCATTCATGTCCACAAGCAAGATAATTGACTGTAAAGTCTTGCCACCAACCAGGAGTAAATGATTACGTAAAAGTGCCGATACGGTGGATGTATGGCGGGTCTAGGTTTGAAGAAAATCAAGTACATGTAGTTTTGTTATGATTGCTTTATTCTAGGGTGTACTGTGCAGGACGTTACAGGGACATGGCCATTGGGTGAACACCATGGCCCTAAGCACAGACTACGTCATGAGGACGGGAGCGTTTGATCCCACCAAGGCCTCACATGTTTACAGGACAGTCACAGAGACAGGTACTCAAGTTTAATGACTATGTGATCAGAATTCTATAAAAAAGAAGGGTTTTCTACGAGGTGCCTGAGCCCTATACATACACACGCACCCTAGCACGTTTGTTTATGGGGTAAATCGAGGATTTTCTGTTGTTCCTCTTCCCTTTTCCTTTGTTTATACTCTAACTTTCTCGCAACAGCTCTCATTGGTTTTGTTCACGTTTTCTAATCGGGGTCGTCCTCGATTCGGTTCCTGTCCTCGATTCACCGATGATGTTGCATGTGTGTGTCCTCGATTTACACCGTAAACAAACGCTCCAATGTATGCAGCACGGTGTATATAAGGTAATTGATATACAACGCGGTGTATATGAGGTGATTATATGCAACATAGTGTACATGAAGTAAACAGTCATGTTTATAGACTAGACACATGGCCATTCTAGACCAACGAAAGTACTGCATCCATGACATGATATAACAAAACCAGTTTAAGTCCAAACTTTCAATGACTCTTCTCCGTACTTTCCGCAGCTGAGGAGTTGTCCAAATTGGCACTGGAGAGATACAACAGTGTGAAGGTGAGTGATTAAAGGTCACAAACCTTTAGAAGAATGCCTTAAAAATAGTGCAAATTGTTTCTGTTTAATAGTACGTTCAATTTCAGAAATCAGTATTGACATTCTGCACATGAAGGAAATGGTCATCCAAAAAGTTGAAATGTTGAAAAGATTCTTATCATTTTTAAGAAATGGTTGTTTACCATACACTTTGACAACATATAAACACCGCAAAAAAAGAAGGTCCACACTCATTTATATAGACCTTTGGGGAATTTTGTTATATATATTTTGATATCCCGTTTGCTACTTAAGACTGTAAATCGTCCAAGATTGACAACGGTTTATGAAAAATGATGCAGTTTGAAAAGTTGCAAATTTAAAGATTACGCGAGAAATTGCTAAGCGCAAACACACAAGCCCGTAATTGGCCCCTTTCGACTTCACAGTGCCCGAACAAAGTGAGGGTAATTCAATTGCTCCATGCATACAAGCACTGTGCGATCTATATTCCCTGCCGTTCATTTCGGGCAGTGTTACACTTTCATGCAGCAATGTCCACACGCTTTAAATTTACAACTTTTCAAACTGCATAATTTTTCATAAACCATTGTCAATGTTGGACGATTTACAGTCTTTGGTAGCAAACGGGGTATCAATTTGACATGAAAAACATATTTTACATTTGATTTATTCTCTTACATGTCTTATGATTCCATAAAACCATACAGTTCTAGGGCTGTTTGGGGTGATATAGGCTGTAACAGGCTGGGCAGATTAGGCCAGTTTTGGGCGGTATGGGAGTAATAATCAGGGCAGTTTTGGGCAGTACAGAGACTTACGGGTGTAATAACTGAATGACAATGAACTGTCATTGTGATATTTGGAACTTTTTCACCTTCAACAGGGCACAGAGCCTGAGAGGCTTGTTTCTGGGTCCGACGACTTCACTCTGTTCCTCTGGCATCCGGCGGAAGACAAGAAGCCTGTGGCGCGGATGACTGGGCACCAGCAACTGATCAACGAAGTGGCCTTCTCACCGGACACCAGACTAATAGCCAGCGCATCGTTTGACAAGTCTGTCAAGCTGTGGGACGGGAGATCGGGAAAGTGAGTCCGAAATCAGACATTCATTGCCACTGACATCCATTTTGAAATCGCCTGTCCTTTAGCCCAACAGTTCCAAAGGGAAATTAGAGTATTATTCATTTAAAGCTTTTGAAAAAATGATTTTTTTTTTATTTATTTGTGCAGGTTCATAACAACACTTAGAGGCCATGTCAGCAAAGTGTATCAGGTAAATATTGTTTTACTTTAACTTGTTGAACTAAGCAATTGACTGGAGCAGGGTTTGAACCTGCAACCTCCGGATTGCCGTTCCAGTGCTCTACCAACTGAGCTATCCAGCCCAATGTTAGCGGTTCCCCATTTTGTCAATGTCTTTGTTCAAGGGGCGCTAGTCAGAAGTCATTAACTCATAAATGCCATGTAGCTAGGGATCACACGCAAAGTCACGATGCTAGCAACATTAGCAATGCTGCAAACCTGGGAAATAGCAAATGGGGATCACTCATGATCCAGCTATTTATTACAAAATAATCAAATAAACAATAAGAGGTTGATGATATATTGATGAAGGAACTCTGTTTTTTTTATAAGGTTTATCCTACTTGGTGCCATTACATGTGTATACACTGTGTGCACTTATTCCACTTGAACTCGACTGTCTTACATGTGAAATCCCTCTTTTATTAAAGGAAAATGATTTCCATGCAATCCTGACTCCTGACTCCAATTTTGACTCCAATTCTGTGTCAAGTTTAAGCTTATCTTTGTTTCACTGCCTTGCAGGTATCATGGTCTGCGGACAGCCGTCTCATATGCAGCGGCAGCTCAGACAGTACCCTCAAAGTCTGGAACGTCAAGGCCGGCAAGATCTCCGTCGACCTGCCAGGCCACGCGGACGAGGTGTACGCTGTCGATTGGAGTCCCGACGGTCAGAGGGTGGCAAGCGGTGGGAAGGATAAAATTCTGAAAATGTGAGATTTAGATCTTTACATGTACTTTTATGAAAATTATTACTTCTGTTCAGTTGCTTACGGTTGAGCTAGAGTAGGACATTTGTATTTGCCATTTAAAAGCCTAATAAGTGAATACATAAGAGTTTGTGGCATCAAGGTGTTTGTGCACGGAATCTGCAAAAGGTAAACAACTTTGATGTTGCAGCGAATGTTTTGCTTGATATTTACGCAAAGTTGTGAACTACTCTTTAAGTCGCGAGGATTTTGCAAAAGACTTTCCTTAATTTGCTAAAATCCAACACTACAGAAAACTAATGGCACATTATTTATACTTCCAACAAAATTATGACATCAAGCCTATGTAAACAGTGGCCGATTTCCACAGTATAAACCCATATACACAGTATAAAACCTGAGTGTGGAGTTTGATGGCTTCAGTATATTTGGGATTAAAGGAAATTATGTAATTGATCACACACATACACAAAAGTTGCTTTGCAGCATTATGTTTCATATACTGAACCATAATATGTTTTGTTTTGTCTTTCAGCTGGCGAAGATAACTTGGTCGTAGACTGGTGACTTGACCTCCAACCGACAGTGGCATCCCAGCTTCTGATAATTCATCTGCTTCTGTGAAGTCTCACTTCATTTCCTGCAGCAGATCTCAACTTGAGCCTTTGCGAGGTCATCAATACAGAATGCTGTACTGTCATTCTGTCCGTTCTCAGACATACTAGTGACCAGACTATCTTCATCCCTGCACAAAAAGTTAAACACTGGAAATGGTCTAGGTTCATTCAAGTGAAACCATTAGTGTCTTTCAGTTTGACATCACACTTCAATTACTTTCGCAAATTCCATCTCAAGAATAGTTTGGTTGCTGTACACGCTGCTACATCAGATTTGAACCAGCCAGCCAACCCCTGCAAGCTCGGTGGTTGAGTGGTAAGACGTCTGCACTAGTAAGCAGGAGGTCGTGGGTTCGAGTCCCACCAGATTAGATTTTTTTCTCACAATCACTCGGGACAACACCAAGTATACAATGCTTATAAAAATACGTTGTTGGAAAACCCGCTATTGAAATTACTTACTTCTCCCAGTTTGCGTATGATACACATTTGTATGCTTTCGATTTTTCCCGATGTGTCTTTAAGTTGAATCGGACTGAAACAGCCCTGTTTACTTTAACAAAGATTTAGCTGAAAAGTAATGTCAAAATCCATTTAATTACGCAAATTAGAGAAGTTCAAATTGAACTTTTTTTTTAAATTTGTTTAATTATTAGAGTCAGTCATTCCCACAGGAACTTACACCATGTAAATGAACAACTTTAGGAACTTTGGATTAAATATACTGAACAATAAATTTTATTTCATAAATTACTCACGATACATTTTACAAACCTGGATATAATGTTAAATGGCCTCTGCTGCATTTTGCATTTATATTTGTACAACTATCTTCATAATCATCAGTGCAGCATGTGAGTACTGCAAAGGTAGCAAGCTTCTTTTTTTTTATCTTCCAATAAATAGCACTACTTGGTGCAACGTTGGGTAAATCACTGCTTGTAACTTTGGGTGAATTACTGCGCACAGTTTGAGTAATGTTTGTCTATATACAGATCCTTTGATAGTTGTAAGGAAGTTTTTTAAATTTCCCTGCTTTTTCCTTAAAAAAGACGACCAGATATATTTTAAAAATTCTCCAAGTGTGTAAAAAATTCTGTTTCAAAATGACCAAGTCAGCCGAAGTGATTCCGTGAGTTATCGTTTCCCCCCGGTCATGAGAAAGAAACGATCATACAGTGCCTATTTGCCATAGACATGATGAATCAGCACAGGCAAAGCCTTCTTGGTAGACAGCAAAAGGCTGTGGTGGAACCGTTACAACGAGACTCTACATGGAATGATTTCCAAAGAAACAGACATTTTTGACATTCGCTAACGATAAACAATCTTAACTGTAGTATGTCAATCTCAACACCGAATTAGCCCTAGCTACAAAACAGTCAAGTTGAATAGTTGGAGCCCAATCCACAGCCGAATCTTCTGTCCAGAGATTTTGTCAAGCAGGTTTAGGCCACAGCAATGGTTATCCATAATTCGGCTGTCTTTGCTTCAGTCCACACTAGTCGACCACCATACTCGAGTTGGACTCATCTGGCTGACTATTTGGAACTAGATTACAATGCCAGTCGCATCACTGGTTACAATAGTTGTGGGCGATGAAAACATCTATTCCTTTGCACACCAGTTTTCACCAGTTGAGTTGAGTTAACCATTCAGAACTCAAGACTCAAGAATCATTGAGTTTTTAAGCAAATAGGTCTGGGAACTAGACAGTCCATGCTCACCTAAAGCCCCATGTGTCATAATGCACAATAGGGAAGCAAGACCAAGAAGTTTAGCTTGACAAGGAGCATTCGCACATGGCTATTAATGTGCAGAAATAAGTCACAGTTCTACTAGTCAGTTGTCATCAATTAAAACTGTACTTGGACTTTGCCAATTACAACTACGTGGGTTCAAGCTGACCGCAGACAAAGCCATGGCTTTGATTGCAGGTTTCTGACAGGCCTCGAGGCAAAAGCCTGACCAAAAGACTGGTACCTGTTACATCATGAAACGCTTAACATTATCAGCTATACCCCTACTTCAGGGAACAAGACAAACATGTCTGTCTCCTTGAAATCTCTAGCAGAACTCTTTTTATTTTTTTACACAATTGGTTTCGGAAAACCCGGGATAAAATCTCTCTAATAGAACTTTAAATAGTTTCAGTCTTCGTCTGAGCTGGAGTCGTTATCTATGTCTTCGATATCTGGCATGGGGAAGCGCAATATGGCCGCCACTCCGGTGAGCAAGGTGAGTTCTGTGGGGAGATAGAATGCATATCAAAATAAAATTAACCATCTATGTTTACTTTCCAACTACGTCATCCAACCCTAAATGGCAGAAACAGAACTCTGGATGTCTTTCCTCTTGAAATGCAAGAGAAATATTTCGTTAAAAAAAAATCTATATGATTCTACATTTCAAAATACACTGCATAAAGGGAAAACAGTCACCACATGATGCAAAACGGTATTCCTTTTGCACATAGGCACAGCAGTGTGTTACCCCTTTTTTTTGGGGGGGGGGAGGGGGTTGACATAAGATGGACGCTTCCAAATGCATTTGCGTGGTATCGCACGCACACAATGAACAACAGAGTATTAACGACTTGATAGTATATGAACAATGTCAGTTTTAGTTGCGTTTTTGAGGCAAATACTTTACGGTGTGTTGTGTTGTAATTTTGCTTCTATTGGAAACTTCGTAGTTGATCTTGAAACTTACGTTCGCCTGACACGTGGAGACTTGAGAATATCTTGACATCTCCCCCGTTCTCTCGTACACTCTCCACTAAGGCAACGTACCGCTGCCTCTCAGCAATCTTCTGTGATCTGACAAGCCAAAGATATGGATGACCTCATCATGATGAATGACAACTAACTTAACCAAACTGAAAATAGTAGTATTGGCGGTGGACAGAGGAATTACAACACGGGATTTGTGTTGGACAATCATAAGAAATCAAGAATTGTATCATACATAGCAATTTGACAGAAACTCGGGAACCAATCAATTACAGTAAGTGTTATGAATTCCTGATCTTTTATTAATTCAAAGATATAAAGGCAAGTTAAAAAGAAAGTGAGCTAATGAGAAAAACAAATTTTTTAAAAATATGCGGCTCACTCCATTTAATAAAAATAACATAGGAATAAAGTACATATTATTGACGAGTAACTGTCAACATTTCATGGAATTTGCATTCTAAGTTCACAAGCTATGTCTGTTTCAATACAAACATCACAAATCCAGCTGTCCACCAATGATCATTTATTGTTTAAACACAATGAAACAAGGGCATTTTCCTGCTTTCAAGAATGAAAGAAATTTGCAAAGGAAGACAGATGAAAATTATCATTTTTTTTCAGAAAATAATTCCTCAAATTCAAAATACAAAGTCTGACAGTAAAAATAATGCTTCAGTCTTGACAAAAATTATAAAAATCTCATTTGTATCTGAATGCACGTGTGTAATCTGTGGTTCTCATTCGGCTCAATAGCTTCCAATGGTATTCCATGGCCAGCTGTAAAAATGGATTCTTTTAGTAAAATATGCATAACCACTCATAACAAGGATCAATTTCAGTAATTCCTTATTTCAAATGAGTGGAAGAACATGCTGGTTTAATATATGATACGTTGGTGTGTCAAATTTAATTGCTTTTTAAGAAGAAAAAAATCACTAATCCGAGGTCACTTTCTTTTTGACTCACCCTGTATATACCAGCTAAATACAGGATAAGGCCATTTTTAAGAAAATGACCCAATAATTTGAACTGATATCCTTGAGTAAAAACCTACCTGAAGAGTTGATCGCTGATGAGTAACGTCTCAACGGCCATGGCAGCATTGGCTGTCTCTACCTGGTTGATACTGTGTAGTCAAATGAGAAAATGAACCAGCATGAAAAATGAAAACAAGACAACAACATGAATCAGGTTAATGCAAGAAGGATTAATAATGTATCTATATAAACAACACTAGGGCAAATCTTGGATATTTGAAAAGAAAAATGGGCATACCCAATAGTAAAGTGTATTAAATTTCTGGGAGATTGTACCTTTGATATATGATTTTTAACATTTTTAAAAAAAATTTTTTTTGTCAAAATCGAACAAAGAATTTGACTGGTTGAGCACCGGAACAGCAGTCCGGGGGTCGCAGGTTCAACTTTGAAAAAAATATTATAAAGCACCTAGTCAGTTTCCCTTTGTGATTTATTTGAAAATTTTTGATTACATTTTTAGTGAGGCTTGCAAAGATAACTTAAGGAAAACAGGAGTACCCAACTCAGACTTCTTCTCCCTTCATGAAATTTAACCTGAAATAAAATACTTCATCCTTCATCTTTTAGAGAAAACAAAATAAGCATCAGAACTTGAATAGATGATATATAGATTTTTTGAAGAGCTTACCCATAGAAAGCCCTATCTGGTTCATTCTGCAGCATGGTATAGAATGCGTCTAGGGCCTTCACTTCTCCTGCTGCCTTCGTGTCGGCCAGCCTCGCTGTGACTGCTGGGTTGGATAATACCTCTACGATGTGATGGGAAAACACAAATCAGATTATATTGAATGACTCAATCAAATAGAATATTTTGGGTTGTAAGCTTTGGGAATGAAATAGAGAAAGTGTAAGACACGAATACTATCTGACCCAAACTGAAAAATAACTGGGGGGAAAAAATGGGGTTAAAAGAATTGAGCAGGGTTGTCTTTTGTACAAAAGGGATTCCTAAACCGAAATTAAAAGAACAAGGTGGATACTGTATGAAGGAGGAAACAGCTAAACTTAATTAGAAGGTGAAGGGCAGAAATTGGGTCAGGGAGTATTGCTGTTTCTTAGGGGAACTACAGAGACTGTACTGGGAGGTTGAGATGTTCCAGGCTGGTGATGAAGAGATTACACAAACTATCTGGATTTTTGATGGGACGCTTCCAGAAGCTTCTATAATCCATCGCTGTGCATTAAAGATAGAATGCACCATTTGTCATTTGTGCATTTTTTTTCGTTTGAAGCAACAGAAGTGCTCAAAATCTAAAAAGATGGGTGCTCAACAACTCACCTGATGAAATGCTGTATATTTCGAGAAAACAAATATTCTGGGTCTCGACTTCAAAAGTTGTTCAAACAACTCGAGTTCAAAAGTTGCCACGTTATAATTTGAATTGCGCCCTCTCATGACAAAATCCCGAAATCAGCATTTGAAACATGATTCTCATTCAGCCTGCGTGACGACACACCCTTAACCGACGAATAATAGCAGCTGCGCGCATTCGCGTCGCGTCAACACTTGCATCCATTCACAGATTTGCACAAGTTTACAAACCAACTACAAACGGAAATTTCCAAAAATGTGTCACTTGACACATCTTTGGAAATAACCATCTTTTAATGTTTTCTTCAAAATGACAGCATGCCTGAAAGAATAGTTTCGCAGGAAGTTTAGTGCCATTACTATCTTCAAACCAAGTATGCTTTTCAACAATAATTTGGTCGGTTACTTTTTGGATAGCTGCAAATGGTCCACTCTATGTTTGAACAAATAGCACATGTATGTTTTGTACTTGACCAAAATTGGGATACGAAGGTCAACATGAAATAATGGTGGCTATAGGCTGTACAATCCTGAATCCAGCATAACTCTACTAAGTCAGGTACTAGCTGGCTCACAAATACTATTCTGCATGATGATTTTTTTTACGACAGTGCAAAAAGAATGCGCAATGGACACTAGTATTTTTTTTATTAAGTTAAAATCACAGTGATGTCAAACTCACCTTTGAGAGCGTGCTTGTGTCCGGAGGAGGAGTGAACCTGCAGAAACTTGGGCTTGTTCTCAAGGAGAACTTTGGTCTCCAGTTTCACGGCTTCTTGGAACATGTACTCGCAAAACTGGTCCTGAAACAAAATCAATCCAATGTGATGTTGGACTGCTTCAAATACAAACTCCTCAAAGGGTCCATGAGATGACCTTTTTCTAAGGAACACATTTTGTGCAACTTTCTTCTCCTATTAAATGTATGAAAACTATTTGACATCCCTTTTTGGTTAATTTTACTGAAAAGTGTACTTCTTTAAACATTTAAAATTGTCCATGCTTTTCCAGACAACTGAGGGCGCTTTTGCTGTGATGTCATTTCAGGAGGACACTGTTCAGTTTATGGGTTTTCTGTTCAAATTGTGAACCAGAAAATTTGCTTATTGAAAACACTTGTGAGAAAAGTTTGCTCATTGGTTTACAACATGTACTGACATTACAATGAATCACCAAAGAAAAGAAAATTTATAACGGCAAAACATCCAAAATTCTGGCACGTTTTGATGCTGAAATAGCTGTGACATTGAGGTTTCTGCCTGAAATGATATCACACCTTTGCTCATGAATATGGAAATTTGCATTAGCATAAAAACCAAAAAGGCACCAAAATAAAAAATACCCTTGAAAATGGCAACACGATAATTGAAAATAAGGTTAAATGGGATACAAAGGTGCATTTTCAAGGATTGCACTTTTAAAAAAATTGCATTGCTTGGGCCCTTTAAAAGGAGACAATAAAGTTCTTAAAGGGAATATACAACATTTGCAAACATCGAAAAATAAAATTACCAAGTTTTTACAAAATACCTTAATAGGATGTTGGTAAATGACAGTCTAAAGCATCCTGTAAAATTATGGCACCTGGTATACTGTCATTTTCAAGAAAAGTGGTATTTTTGTATCAATTTCCAACGCTGATCGGCCGATCAGCGTTGGAAACAACTGGCTTTTTTTCAAATACTGGCCCCAATTGACCATTGCACTTGTTTGCAATCGATTACAAATCTATGAACGGGTACGAGCCAGCTAAACTGGTTCCCTGACCTTACAATTCCCCAATGTATGTAAACTGCTCTGTTTCTTCTTATATGGAGTCAGGGAACCAGACTACAGGAAAATGATCGTTTTTCTTGGTTTTTATAGCATTTTCGAACCCAAAACCTCCAAAAAGTCAGTGTAATTATATTTGCTTTATATTTCCAACCCCCCAATTCCATCCCTTTCTGAAAATTACAGCAAAAGCAAATGATGTATATTCCCTTTAAGACCCACTGTCTCCTACCCAAAGCAATCACACAACAAACAAATACTCAGAATGATGATGTATTCCCACAAATAGAACAATTACCTTAACAAAGCCTGGGCTTGCTACCAGCACACACTTCACAACTGTTCACAGAAAAGAAATCAAACATAACCCTGAAAATACGAAGTTAAATTCAACACACATTGTACATATGTCAAAGGTGCAGAAAAGTATTGTATGGAATCGGATACTCCAGTAAGTTTAAAGATGTGTTTCCCGTGCTATTTTCAAGTTTCATATTGAAAAAAAAAACAGATTTGTTTTTTCAATTGCTATTTTCCTAAGAATTTAAGGTTTAACACTTTTGAATGAGACATCGAGTGAAAAAAATTGACCAACGTTTAATTATTGAATTATTTCTTCACAAAAATCGAACTATTGGCTGCCAGACAATAATTGGGCTCTCGCAGGGCGGTTCATTTGTTCGCAAAATGAAATTCCTTTTCAGAAGGTTGCAGTTGCCCAAAATTGGAAACAAGTAGTTTTTTTTTTTTTATTAAAACCAAACATACAAATTAAAAAGTCGTTAGGAGAAAAAGTCCATTTTTTTTCCGAGAACCTTGAGGTACCATCTCTAATCAATTTGTCCATTATGTAACTAATATAAGTAATAATTAGAAACATCCTCAAAGGCGTCTTTCTTTGAAAGTGCTTGGATAAAATGAAATAGTACAATCCATTTTGTGCTGTCACATGCAGTGTCCAAATCCTCAATAAATTAGAGTGCTCTTAAAGTTCCAAAGTTGACAAAAAGGATCAACGGCCCACAGATGTTTATGGATCTCTAACCAAACTTCGACCCCTGACGTTGAGTCCCATATCAAGTCCAAAAGAATATTCATAAAGTCGTATGATACTCACCATCAAAGTTGATGTGCCTGAGAATGGCCTGCATGACCGCATCGTAGAAGCGCAACAGGGACTTGTCATGCTGCGAGCACGAGCCTTTCCGCTTGCGTGGTATGTTGTGCTCGATCTTGGCCCGTACCATTGTCATGCTGGGTGTGACCAGGCAGATGAGGGCCAGCCCCTCTTGCATGACGACCGCAGCCACGTCGGCCGTTTGCGCGATGTCACAGGCCATTTCTGAAGGAAAAATTAGGGTTTTTTTTTCTTAAAATGACACAAAGGGAACTGTTAGCTTCTTAGGTACCCATTTCAGAATGGCATTGCAGAATCACACTAAAATCATTAACCCATTAGTACATGTACTACATTGTAGTACATTGTGTTTATTCACTGAAGAATCAATGAAACCATAGAGGGCGGTTTTGGGCGCAACAGTGAGTAATAGGCAGGGCGGTTTCGGGCGCCACTGTGACTAAAGGGTCAATCCGAAACGACTCCAGAGTCCAGTCAATGGAGGTTGGCATTCAAATTTTGCTTGTCTGAAACGAAATAAAAATTTGGGTCGACTGGAGTCGCTTATAATACAGTTTTGGTTCAGCGAGACTCAAATCCAGTTTGAATCTAGGGTGTTAGAGACAATCTGGATTATAGAGATATGTAGAAGGTATTTTACAGAAAGTGTTTTTAGAATATCATACACCAGTGTTCGACTTTAGCGGTAGCCTATCAGCTAAATGCTAGTCAAAACAGCAGCGGGCTAGTCAAACTATGCCTTAAGTGGCCCGGCTGGCAAGTCAAACATTATTGGGCTACTGCAAAGATGTAAGGACAGGAAGAACTAAATTATTATATTCGGAAAGCAAACCCGTATCAATTTGTGTCTAATTTTATTAACTGTATAGGTTTAAATTATTAGATCTGTTTATGAAAAACTCTGACAAAGTTGCATCAGGATACACGATTTACATGTATGCACATTGTTGTTTATGAGACACTCTATTAAAGAAAAACATGCAGGCTAGTGAAACTGCCAGCGGGCTAGTTAAGAGTCTGTTTCAGTAGCCCGGCTGGCTAGTGAACAAAAAAGTTAAGGTCGAACTCTGCATACACCTCTGTGGAACACCAAAGTCCCCAACAAATCTATTCACACTTCAATCTAGGGCTGTGCATCGAAACCGGGTACCCGATTACTCGACCGTTGATGTCAGGAACTGGTTCCAGATTGTGGGATCGGGTACCTATAACCAACTTTACAAATTACTTTGTATTAAACCTCTCAGACAGTAAATGCACACCCCTACTTCAATCACAATAGGGTTCACAAAGTGGGCCTGTTCCAAACGCCATGCTACTGCCTTGCCAATAGCACAACAGTATTTGGCTTTTTTGACATGTCGATAAATGCAAACTTTAAACAGCCATAACTTGTCAACGGAATGTCCGATTGAAGTGCAACAAACAGTATTGAAAGGAGAATTTTATTCTCTATCCTAATACCTGCAAACCCTCATTTCGACCTCTGCCCACTTCTGTCTTATTTTTCCAGAATGCCTCACAAATGTGGTGTGAAACGGAGAAGGGTTAAAGTTTAATATTACAACAAAAAATCACGTGGTAGAATAAGGAAATAGAAACCCAACTCACCTATTCTTTCCAAGTCAATCACATCCCATAACTGCTTGGCAAGCGTGAATTTACGATTGAGTTCTAAATCTAACGTGTGGTAGGCTCCCATCTGTAAAGAAAGATGTCTCTAGCTATTACTTGTATTCAAAGAGAAGTAACTGTACGATGCCAAACAGGAATTCCTTCCCTGAGACAGAGGTTTGTACATGTTATAACTGTTTTATCGGTCACAGACAGTTAGATATTCAATCCACTTCCCCTGCCATAACTTTTACACAGGCTGGTTACCAACAGTCAGATCATATTATTTATAGGCACTGCGACGATATTATGACAATCGGCATCAGCCGGTGCTAAAAAAAATCAACAGTCGCAAGAGTAGAACAATTTCAACTTCTGCGACGTGTTCCGCGACCATCACACGATTTCTCAGTTTTGTGACCTGAGCATTATTCTTCGGCTTCATGCCGACGGTTTCGTCGTGGCGCAAACAAATCGTGGGTCGACCTGAGGCCGGCTTAAGAGCAAGTCACTTGATTTCTTTTGACTGCTGGGGTGGTTTTGTTGAATTTGCCCGTCAGAGAGAGGGAAAGTGATTTGTAGTTTGCTTGTGAATATCACTTGAACTGTTTTAATAGGGTGTCTAAAAATATAACCTGAAATTGAGTTGAAACTAACTGAAGTGAATAACCACGTACCGGTATAAATCACAAAAGTCATAATCATAATTTCCTGACCTTGACATACTGGTTCTCCTGGATGTTGCGACCTTTGACCCTTAGCACGCAGGCCTGCACGTCAAAGTCCACGACCTCCACCGAGATGGTCAGCATGGTGCGGACACGGTTGCTGCTGCTGCTGCCCGTGGAGGACTCGGTGGTCACTTTACGGACCGTGGTGGACCGTAGGCTGTCACCGGCCCGGACTAGGTTGTAGGCATGCCACATGTCCTCTGACTCCTCTGGGACGAGGGTCACTTGCCTGTGAGAACCAAGGCAAGAATATCTAATTAAAATCATGGTCATACTTACTGACCCACTGATTGACTCACTGACCGACTGTCACTTGTTAATTAGACTTGCTTAATAATAATAATAATAATAATAATAATAATAATAATAATGTGGTGCTTATATAGCGCCTCATATACCAAAGGTGTCAAAGCGCTTTACAATTATTATCCCTGTTCACCAAGCCACAAGACCACTTCTGCAGCAGCTCAATATCAGCGCATATGGCCCGTACCTTCGTAGTTCGCAGGTACCCATTTACTCCTGGGTTGAGAGAAGCAATGTGTGACAAAGTGCCTTACCCAAGGGCACACGCACCACAACCCCAGGTTGGACTTGAACCCACATTTTAAATAAAATTATATTTATTGGAAAGAGCATTTAAAAGAAGGAAATAAACGTCCACACAACCATCCTTTAAAAACTAGGCGTTTTTGTGTTATTCGGGTGTCAACATTTCGACTCTCAAAAATCGAGCTGTTGAGTGCTAGTTGTGAATCCTGCCGCACAGTGCATCGCATTCTGCGGACGTGCGAGAAACAACATTTGTGTATTGGTACTGTATGTATTATGTGACACACACACACAACGTGACCATACATTGAATGGACACGGCTTCAATTACGTATGCATGTGCCACAAAATGTCTGCCGCATCTGATGAAAACAACCAGTTGGTTTTTTTTTTATTTTCCCAGGAACGGTAAGGCATTATGTTAGTTTCCTTTCAACCAGACCTTTAAAATAGGATAAGGCCAAAAAAAATGATAGTTCTGCTTCCGATTACATGGCATTCCAAACTAGGGTGAGTACCGGTAGGTAGGGAATTTTTTTTTTTGCCAGTGTTTTTTTTGTGTGTACGATCATATGGAGGCGTCTGCGTGTGGTCAAGGGTAAAGTAGAAACTTATGGATTTGGGAGGTTTTTCTCATTTTTCCAATAAAAAAAATGAGGGTAGGGGCTGTCACAATAGGGTAGGTAGGGAAACCGAAAGCAGAACTACTTTTTTGGGGGCCTAAGTAAACAACCCAAAACATAACATTTTGGGGGATTTCAGGCCGTAAGACTGGGCAGGCAATCACCGCATTATGGGGAGGGTAATTATAGGCCTGAGTTGTGGGGACTTTCTGATGTCCCCACAACTATGGAACAAGAATGTGTGCCATTTAGAGACTGGCGCTGCTTGTTTCATGTACTTTTGTAATACATGTGAGGTTAATAAGTCAAACGGCAAAAGTAGATTTTTCATTTTCATCAGGTTACCACTACAGCTTATTCTACAAACTTTATAGCTGTTCAATCAACTGAATCAACTCAATAGAAATTAGTGCACTCTGGAATCAGCTTTAATACACTTGCTTAGCTTGGGCTCCTATTTCTGGTGTAAACTGTAAGACAAATCCTGCACGAGAAGTAATCTAGAGTTACTGTCACACAAAAGTAGCCAAGGGTGAATTTTCAGCAGATGTGATGTTCCATTAGCCCTGGATTAGACAAAGTCATATCCAGGGGCCCAGTGTTTACGAGTCGAGTTCTTACCCAGCACCATCTTTCTCAAGATCTCGGCTGACAAGCTTCATCTTGCTGAAGACGATGCTCTATGCTGTGGTTCAAAGACGAAACTGATGGTCCTCGCACTAAGTAATACTTGAACTGCCCTAGTGAATATGAAGTTGATCTGTTTTCTTGTTTTGAATTCCAACGGCTACTTCCATTTTTCATGAAGAAGTTACATCTGAAAAACAAAACAATAAATACATGTACATGAAAGGTTTCATTACAGGCATGAACTGAGAATTTAGAAGAAAAAAAACGAGGAAAGTCGATTTGTAATGGTAATCTTTAGAAGTAAAAAACGACGAAATCTGCGGATCCGAGGAAAAGTTGCATGCCTGTTCATATTTAAATACAATGCAGTCCAATTGAAAAATATGTATTAAAAGAATCCACATAAATTAGAAGTAGACCCCCAAAATAAATGGCAATATAGCCCCCTGGTGCAAAGTACTGTCCAGTAACTTCTTTTCACCAGAATGGGGCTACCCACTTCTTCACTAGTAGGCCTAGTAAACAGTAATAAGTAGGCCTAGGCCTGCCGCCTAGTCCGAAAATTTGGGACTCTCAATACTTGTACTTGTGTAGGCCCCAACCAAACCTAGTCCGAGTAACTTGGACCCAACTTATCGCCTTTTTTAACATTTGAACATGGTCTGGCGATAGTAAGGTCCAAGCTAATACCGCGACCTAGACAACACAGTCCCAAAAACCAACATTTTCCAACAAAAAACTTCAGATTTCACCTTCAAAACGACCTCCAAATTACTAGATATACCACCTGAGGTACAAGTAGACATCGATAATTAAGATGGTTGTACTGAAGTTTACTTACGATCCGGAAAAAAGTGAAATTTTCCGTTCATTTCGGAGAGCTCCCCTCGCGATCTTGAACACGTTAAATTTCCGATCGTGTTAAATGTTTGAACGACGCGATTTCTTCTACATGCCCAGCGTACATTCGATGGTCCCCGTATCCCGAGTGCGATTCCGTTACCGAGCGCGCGCGATGCATCGATTATGATAATGAGTAGACTGGATCACGTTTGTAAACACATGTGCATTTCAAACGATAATAGGGAGTCGGGAACTAGCGCAGCTTTTATGGCGGGTACCAGTTCAAGCTGGTTCCCGATTCCCTTTTACAGTTCGAAATGCACATGTATGTGTTTACAAACGTGATCATTATCATAATCGATGCATCGCGCGCGCTCGGTAACGGAATCGCACACGGGATACGGGGACATGTATGTACGCTGGGCATGTAGAAGAAATCGCGTCGTTCAAACATTAAACACGATCGGAAATTTAACGTGTTCAAGATCGCGAGGGGAGCTCTCCGAAATGAACGGAAAATTTCACTTTTTTCCGGATCGTAAGTAAACTTCAGTACAACCATCTTAATTATCGATGTCTACTTGTACCTCAGGTGGCATATCTAGTAATTTGGAGGCCTTTTTGAAGGTGAAATCTGATGTGTTTTGTTGGAAAATGTTGGTTTTTGGGACTGTGTTGTCTAGGTCGCGTTATTAGCTTGGACCTTACTATCGCCAGACCATGTCCAAACGTTAAAAAAGGCGTTAAGTTGGGTCCAAGTTACTCGGACTAAACCAAACCAGAGAACCCACAAGGCTAAATTTTTTTTTCCTATAAACTGCTTTTTCAAATTTGTGAGGTGGGAATGAAAATGTTTAATTTTGGGGGATATAACTACACAAAAATAATTCCAATACAGTTGTACATCAGTCGTTTCAACAAATTGTGCAAGAACTAAGACAAGAGCTAAAGAGCGCGCCCCCATTTTTTGCACATTTAAACTTCAAACTGGAATTACATCGTGACACCGTGATCATGGTGATGGTGCAATACCGCGCGCGCGAACAGCCGGTAAAATTTCTTTGCCCCTAACATCCAAAGTTTTCAACATTTTACGTCCTACCGATGCTCAAAAACACATGTATAATGAAGACATTATCACATCTTACCGTGATGTTGATTCAACCTTAACTTTTGAGGCCTATAAGGGTAGAAAACATAGCCGAAATTTCGCCGACAATTACTTTCGCAGTGACAGGTTGACCTTCATGACCTGCCACGCTGCGGGAGTTTTCTCAACCTAGGCTTCGTTCCAGATGGGGATTTCATCCGGCTCGAAAATCATTTTAAAAACCCATCAATGTCCAAATGACGTAGAAAACTCTAAATTTTGGCCTCTTAGTTACTTAGTATATGTTCTTGAGGCAGAATATGGACCTAAAGGGATCACAATTTCCCCAAATTGTGGGCCCAAAAATCGGCAATAGCCAATAGTGGAATGAAGCCGAGGCTTGGAAAACCTATAACCCGGAAATAAATTGTAACCAACCGGAAGCGGCTTTCTAGCATAAACTTGTTCAAGTCTTTATCATGTTTATATGGAATGTATTGAGTATTAATCTTGCGATTGGGCATTCCTTAGGGTTAGCCAAGGATTCGGGGAGGGGGGGGGATCACTCCCCTAAAAACCAAGTGGATCTTATGCTTTGGTAAGCCTTTTATTTCACGTCCCTAGCCTCCGTTTTTTCAGCAGCTTACCAAAACAAAACCAACCCCGTGCATAGAGGGCGCTCTGTGGAAGCGGTATACTAATTTCCAATCAACAACTCAGGGGTGTCATACGAAATTTGGACTCCCATGATAATCTAGTCCCTTTTACCTTATATGGACCCTCATAGAGGACCTGTCAATGTCCAATCTATGTTAATACAATGCCCAATACAACCAATATGTCTGATTGGTCCTTAATTCACACTACACTGGGTTTTAAGAGGCATTTACTCTTCCCATCCCAGACAAATTTAACACTTTAACTCATCCCTCCAATTCTTTGTTTCATTAACATTGATGAAATTAAGCAACGACGTAATTCCCGAATCGCCACAGTTGGATTTTTTTCCCAGCCAGTATCATGCCACCCATTTTTGACTCCCGCAACAAAATAAATTTTAAGCTTCAAAACAGAAATTTAAACACACAAATCACACACAGACAAAACATGTAAATTTTCCCAACACCCTTTTTAATCATCCATACCGGATGTCTGTCACCGCCTCTAAATATTTGTCATATATTTTGTATGTACATCAAACAGGAGAAAACAAGCTATATTACAACGCCGCATATTTACATGATGTCGCTCTTTATAGAATTAGCAATTTAAATTTGATTTAAACTACAGTTAATCAATCTTTAACCGTTCTTCAACCACTCATAATGAAATCTGGGTTATGTGTAAAATAATAAATATTCCGAAAGGAAATAAATACAGGGACAGATACTGATGAGCAATATCTTTGAAGTGTAGATGGGGGGGTCATGTTTAACATTATTTCTGTACTAAAGTTTTGGCAAAATGGCATCTGCGAAATTGTACCTTTTGTATATGTAGGCCCTATGTGCATGTGCTGAACAAATCAGTAGGCGATTCATTTTTACAAAGCTAAAGGCAACTATGCAGAGGGCGCAATGAGCGTTGTCAAATAATGAAGGTTCAACTGGGCTTTAAGCTAATCACATGTAGTTTGGATAAGTACTGTTCTTGTGTGCAGAGTAAAATACAGCACATTCACATTTCAAAGTAAAGCCGGTTCAAGTCTTTTCTTCACAGGTAATCCAGAGAAGGGAAGAGATCAGTGAAGGACTCCTCCCAGATATTGTCCCCAAGGTTGGGCGACATGTCCGCGCTGTCACTGAACGGCGACACAGGGTTGTCGCTGAACGCCGAGTCGGCACAGCTGCCCGTCTCGCTCTTGGCGTCGCAACTCTTCATGTCAGAGTCCAGCGAGAGGAGATCGGAGATGTCGCAGTCGAAGACGCCGTTGTCATCGTCGATGGACAGCAGGTTGGGGACCGTGGTGTCTTTCGTGTTCAGTGACAGCGAGGCGTCTTTCAGCGAGACCAGCATGTCTTGCAAGGTAGCCTCTGCGTTGCTTCTGAATTCCACGACCGAGGCTGGGGAACTCGCACTGGGAGTCAAGTCCATCACTGATTCCTCCATGTCCAGACAGATTACTTCCGGCTCTACAGTCTCTGGCTCTGCGGCGGACAGATGAGCCATTTTCTCCTGTTTGATGTCCACGGCGGGTGTGGGCACGGGCGGCCTCTTGACGTACTCATGGTCGAAGCGGATCAGTTCTTTGAGGGATTCCAACTCTTCTGTTGAGGGCCCCACCACTGGGTAGGCACCGTCTTGGCCTTGGCCGGCTTCAAAGGAGTCTCGTCCGACATGGCAATGCGCTGGGTCTTGGGCGTCCAGATTTTCAAGCAGTCCCAGTAGCATGTCAGACTGTGGAAGACAAGTTAGGAAACTGGTCTTAAAACTTGAAGACATTTCATAACTCTTTCCGGCTAAACAGAGTTTGTTATTTATCTGTGTTACTAGGTTTGCCATTTATCAACACCTGTATGTAAGGCCAAAAAAAAAAAGTTTCCGGTTTCTGGTATGCGCGCGCGTCGCCGTAGCCATGCGCGTCGGCAAAATGAAAAAGTTTTTTTTTCAATGAAAGATGATGTCTCAAAACCGCCAAACTCACTGGTTTGACTGGAATTCTGCTGCTGCACTATTTTAACGTGTTTTTAGATGGGGTTATGATCGAGAATAAGCTTTATGTGGCCTCTCTGAACTCCCATATATTTGCACTAAGTTTAGTCGGGCACCATTTGCAGTCATCAGTCGACATTTGAAGCAAAAAAGTCAGGTAAAAAAAAAAAAAAAGCCGCGTCGCCGCACCACTTTTTGGACAAGCTCCATACCAGAAACCGGAGACTTTTTTTTTTTGGCCTAAGTGTAGGGGTTTTTTTTCTTTCAAATTTAATGCTTTATTTTTTTTTAGAAATCAGTAACAGAGACAATGAATTTGATTGCACCAAGATCAATAATGAATTTAAGAACACTGTCAAACTTAACAACAAAATACAAAAATTCAGAGATTGATGACTTTTCACCCAATTTTCTTTACAAATGTCATGCATCCCCATCATAGAGTGATTTTAAGGGCAAATCTTGCAAACCATACTACTGTTATAATCAAAAGTACATACCTCAAGCAGAGAAGTGTTGCCAGCCACGCTGAAATCAGTTGGATCTGCGCCTGCTGCGGAGGTGCGTTGAGTGCTGCGGACTCAGGTGATCCAACTTCATTCTTTATGACGACCACATCTTCTTCTGTCTTGGTCTCCTGTAGTTTGAGGAAGGGAAAAAAAGAAGAGACTTTACACCACCGTGTCAAATAATTGTTGTTTCAAAATACCAGGATGAGCCTACATATTTGGTTGGGTCAACTGTCACTTTGCAGGAAATGTAATTATGGAAAGTCAATCACAAGTCTGTCAATCAGTCAAGTGCCAACGTATTCAACTAAACTGTCACAAAGAACTGTTTTGTTATTGTTCTTACAATTACTTGTTGTAACCTGTTGTGATGTTTGCATTATGGTGATTGGTTTGTGAATGAATCGATCACAAATATGTCACTTTCCAACACTACTGTTGTCTTATACAGAATATTAAAAATTGTGGAAAAAAATGTTGCAACCTGACGCCACTTCAGCGGTTGTGTTTTTGCAATATGGCTGACCTTCATTGAGATGATATATGAAGAAAAAAGTGGCGCCAGGTTGCAACATTTTTTCCATAATTGTTTTAGTGAGAAGGGGCAGGGCGAAGTGGGGCGGGGTGGATTGGGGCAGGGCGGAGTGGGGCGGGGTGGAGTGGGGCAGGGTGGAGTGGGGCAGGGTGGGGGGGGGGGGGGGGGGGCAAATACTGATTACCTTAACTGAAAAACTTCCAACCCGTCATTCTCATACATGTCACTCATTGTTTACATGCCTTGTTTACATGTCACTCGTTGTTTACTTTTCTTGTTTACATAAACTGCGTACCACTTTGACATCAGCAAGCAGCCCCAGTCTCCGTCGGAGTTCCTGGTTCTCGCTCTCGAGTCTCTCGTTCTCGTCTTTCAAGGCCTCGTTCTCATTCATGAGTTCTTGGTTGGCCAGCTGCGTGATCTCAAGGGTCTCCTCAATGGTGTCCATGTGGGCCTTCTTGCGGTCTCGTGCAGTCTGGGCTGCTACTCTGTTCTTCAGTTTCCTGGAAAAAGGCAGTTTTAATTAAATAGGAAAATTAGTAATCATATGTTTACACATTTGACAAATACAAATAGGACCTGATCTTCTTTTTTTTATTTGGGAGGGGGAGGGGTTCGGGGGGGGGGGGGGAGAGGGGTAATGTAGTAATTGTGCTGCCACTTCCTTCGTTAACCGCAATAACTAATGGTCATTCACTGCAAATATGTTGGGATATCATTTATTATGAATTTTGGTTCAGGAAACATCACACAATTTCTTTTTTTTCAACTTTAAAGGGCCTACTTTCCAAAAATCTGTTGGTTCCCATACACTTTCATGACTTTGTAACATTAGGCAATATTACAATATGTTTATTACATTTTTCTAAATATAAAAAATATTCATTTATAGAAAAACATCCCTTGATTAGTTTCAAATAACCTAGGCCCTTGGGACCATTTTACTAAAATTTAATGTAATGTGGGCCTTCAAATCAAACACAAATCGATTATTTATTCGAAACATCTGGAAACTCAGCTGTTCAAATGCTTCACTTTCGTTTCGTAATTGTCCAGCTGATCACGATTAACGCCCCAAAAAAACAGGGGAACATATCACAAACAACTCAACAAGTTGAACAATGAACATTTTTGCTGTATAACCACAGTTTTGTTTCAAGAAGGTAAGCCCTATGCCTATGTCATCACACCCAAAAAAAACCGACTAACCTCCGAAGCATTTTCTCTTCCGGGGACAAGTGCGTAAGCCTTTGCCGCTTGCGCGGCGCAGCGCCCGAGACTACTGTGTTGTTCTGATGTTCCATCACTCCGAAACTTCTCTTGATACCCTCCGGTAACTCAGTGAAAATAATTCTCGTAGTAGCCATCTTACATCCCACAGTTCTTATTCTATCTTTTCCGATGTTAAGAAGAGCACTGCTCTCCGTAGATCGTAAGAAAAATTGAGTAAATCTTCCCGATTTCTAGTCTCACATTTTGATCGTTCTGTCCGGGTAGAAATACTGAAGCCACGTCGGCCTTTTCTCGATGTGGCTTTACCTGATTGGTCGAGGCATAAAAAATGATGTCACATACTAGGCACACGATTGGTCTATCTGTAAATGCGTCAACGAAATGAATATGCATCACGAATAACTACGTAAATATTTTGAAACGCAAAAAGGGGCGGATTCGGTGAATATGATGCAAGCGAGTGTGGACCGTGCGGGGTAAATTTTCTGATGCAATATTCTGCGTGTGTGTCAAGCGCCAACGTGGCAACGTAATATCATCGTGATGGCTTTTAAATAGCCCATTTCTATTTTTAGCCACTAAACAAAAGTCATCGTTTGGTCGTCAAGAATCCCGCGGCCCGCCCGATAATCAAAAAGGCAAAAAAAATATGGCTACATTGACATTCCTATAAACCATGGATTGTAGTGTCTTCGAAAAAAATTGCACGTTTTATAAAAGTGAACTTGTGCTGCAATTAAAGGGAAGATACAACATTTTGCATACATCAAAAAACGAAAGGATCAAGTATCACGAAATACCTTACTGGATTGTTATGGACTGATAATCTAAAGCATCTTTAAAATCGTGGCTCCTGGTGTGCTGATATTTTTAAGAAAACTGGTATTTTTCCAACGCGGGTTGGCCGACCAGCGTTGGAGAAAACTGACTTTTTTTTCAAAAACTGCTCCTACATGTATTTTTTGATATTAAGTTATTCCGCATTTTCTTTGCAATTGATTACACCGTCCTGTCAAGGGGTACAAGTCAGCTAGACTGATTCTCTGACCCTACAATTTCCCAAAGTCTACACATTGTCCATTTATTTCTGAAAATTGCAGCAAAAGCAAATGCTGTACATTGCCTTTAAAGCCTGCAATGCCACAATACTGCCAGAAATTGAAACGTCCGAGTACAAAACAAGCCATATATTTGAATCAGTACTTGAAAATTTCAATGGACCTCTAGGCAGATAAAAAGTGAATCCACTGCTTGCGCTTCGAACCGGGACCCCCCCCCCCCCCCCCCGCACGGCTGCGCGCCTATACTGTACTGAAAACTTAGTGCCAATCACGAGGCTCATATTGGGCTCGTACTGTCTCCCTATTTGCAATCGGTTTATATTACGGTTATTCTAAGACCATCTCCTAGCTGCGCTGCATGGTGAAAAAGTTCCCCACAAACCACCGCATCATAATTCGCCGAAGGCGCCGGCTGCGGAGGCAAGCTACAGGTAAGGTTGTGCCATTTCCGGGTAGATATCTTGTAACATCATCAGCCGGCCGTGTATAATATCATGGAGGAATAAGAACACATGAAAATATAATGCATGGGGCTTGGGACGAAGTCTTGCGTTATCTCGAAAAACCTACGAGTCATTTCGCACAACTATTGCGTTATTTCAAAAATGTCTTTGTGTTAATAATAATACACTATTTCGCAAAGGCAAGATTTTTTTTTCCCCAAAGGAGACATGCAAAGGGCGGGGCGGACGGATCTATAGCCTTCAGAAATTTAACGGCGGAGTTGATTCAGGGAGGGGGCAATTAGGCACGCCCTGCCTTTTTTGGGGGGGGGGGGTCCGGGGCCATGCCCCCCAGATTTTCTTTTTTTTTAGTCTAAGTTGCTTTCTCCCGCATTCTAAGACAATTTGAGAATAAATTAGTAACCTAAGCATTCCAATTATTAGTTTTGGCCCCATTTTAGTACCCTTCAGAGGCTGAACGGCGTTGCCCCCCCCCCCCCCTAGATCGGCCACTGGAAATGCGTCTTAAAATCACATAAAGTATAGTTCACGGTTCGAGCAGTCAATTAGCATCGCATGGGGTGGATTAGGAATTGTGCAGGTATCATAATTTGTATAGCTCATATGGCAGTTTTATCACCATTCAGAGCACGGAACTTGAACCTCCATGAAAAAGGACAAAAAAACCCTCAAAACTCAAAAGGGTTGTGATAAGCATCTAGGCCCTATATGATTTTGGGAGTGGGTTATGAAGCAAGTCTGCAGGGAGAGGGTACTATCTAAGGCTCTGAGGGTGGTGGAAAATGATGAGCATCGATCCCCTCAACACATCATTTCAAACTGCTTAGTACTTGTAGGAGATTTCAGTCGGTACGGTAAGGGCCGGAACAAACAGGTACCTCAATGCATTTGTCTCCAGTTTCCATACGCATTCTCATTGATGATCAGCATCGGTGCCAACATCCTTAATTTTATCAACATTTGCTAAGCCAGAATAGTCTTGTTTCATGATTTTTGCCTCCTTTATTTTATATGGTTGATATGCGAAAATGTACTACATGTAATTTGTAATGGTAATCTGGATTATATTTCAACTTGTTTATTTAATACTTGCAAGGATTTAATTAAGCATTCATGTATTGCTTTGAAAACTGAATGATGAAAGCATTATGCTAGCTATTGCAAAGCAACTGCCCCATCATGGATTATCTGAATAATGGGCACAAATACGCCATTGAAGGGGGCCTTCCTGTGAGTACATTGAGAGCGTGCTCGGAATTTACCAGTATTGAAAACATATATTTATATACAGGGTGAGTAAAACAAAAAAGCGGACCCACCCCCCCCCCCCAAAAAAAAATCCTATTTAAAAACAAAAAAGTACGTAGCACCAAACATTATAATGATTGGAAAGCCAATTTCATAAGCTACTTTAAGATGAAAGAATTACTGAAATTGCTCAATCCGTTCAAAAAATATCACTGTTTAAACGCAATGACCCAAAAACCCGTTCGTCAAAAAAAAACCACCCAGTTTAGTGTGTATTCTGTTTGGAACAACAAAGAAAATGACGCAGAATACTTGTTTCAACAAATGACAACTGTAGTACACAATATCCTTATTAGCAACCCTTGTTTATAGGCAAACAATATGATTAAAAAAAATCAACGGGCCTTCAAAAGGACTTTGTTGAATATTTTTAACTTTTAAAATGAGGTTTTATCGCTGGTGTGATGTTTGAAGACAATTGTAATGACGATTCTTGAAATCGCATTTTTGGACGAAAGCGGTTCTAGGGTCATTGTGTTTAAATGGTGATACAATGTATTCTTTGAACGAATTGAGCAATTTCAGTATTTTTTTCATCTAAAAGTAGCTTATGAAATTGGCTTTCCAGTCATTATGATGTTTGGTGCTACGTACTTTTTTGTTTTAAATATGAAATATAATTTTGGGGGTTTGGGTTTCGCTTTTTTTTTTACTCGCCCTGTACGTTAGACACGTGAATATTTCCCTTGAAATGCTATACGTTAGCAACGTATATGATCTATTTCCTTACTTATGTATTATGATCTTCCAAAAAATGAACATATGGCACAACTCCCCATAAAATTATTGAATTATCATATCTACACAATGCTATAAAATGCACAAGGCGATTCAACACTGTGTAGTGTGCATAGTTTCTTTAATTTATCAAATTTGTTTTTACAATTTCTTTTATATATTTCAGCACGTATGACACTCTCTTCTTGTTCTCAAGTATCGAGTATCCATCAATACTATATCTTAAATCGTACCTTTCATTAAATACATATAATAAAATCGAGACATTATATCGAATAAAAATTGAAGCAAAATAGTTTTATACGAATAACCAATTGGCAGTGCATAGATTTACAAATTGTGTTATTGTACACACATATCAAACTTGAAGTATCCTTGAAAACGTTAAAAGGTGATCATTCATATTAGTTTACACGTGAGGTAATCAAGGTATGTATATGAATTGAATTTATAATTCTCCACTCCGAAATGTGTCTTCTCCGAGTTGTTCATAGGGTTATGAATTCCACGCAAATGAACATTCATAAATACCTGGGACAGTTTGCTCATTCATATTGGCCGAGGGCCGCCACGTGGGTAGTTTTAAGCCACAGGTAAACACTGCTGCGTTCTGCACCACATCGCGCAGTACGCGCCACGCGCTTGCCTGTTTCCATATGTGACCCGGATATTGGTTCTTTTTACAAGTTTATTTTAACAGCAACAAAGAAAAAGAGTTGACGGGTAAGTCTATAATGAAAAACAGAAAGGAAACAATAATAAGTAAACATTAAACTATGTAAAGTATATAACTACAGTAAACTAGAGTATAGGAAATAGGAAAATTAAATCAAAGTTAAATCAAAATTAAATCAAACAAATTCCAAACTTCTTGAATTCTTTCGTCAAAGAATAAAGGTTCCTGGTTGAGGAAATTATGCTCTTAAGTAGAATTATCCATGAACAAGTTGTTCCTTTATCCACCTACTTAAATATTCACAACAACTTTGGTGCACTGATCACATAGCAATTACCAGAAGCTGTACACAACCCTACTCACACAGCACACAGTATCGATATTATACCCACACATGTAGCTATGCCTGTTATTGATATGCAACTTAAACCACAGATTCTACACTCAGCTATGAACCTGGAGTGGAGGTTCCTAATGACTCTACCAGCTGGTGTACTCCAATACTCCTTCTTCCAAGATAAACCACAAGATGCAGTGCTGGCAGTCTTAGGGTGTGGTCTCCATAGTCCATATATGTACATTCATTTTAACTGCATGTTTTCTAATAAGGAGTAGTCCCCCAAAGTTTGCTCAAATATTAAGCGAATAACTTAATAACTGAATTGTGAATTACAGAATTAAATATACCTCAACCACTCTGAATAAGTGAACAAATAGTAAGAATAACCCAAAGATAAAAAGTAACTAAACTTTAGCTTAAACTAGCAAAGAACTTTGCAAGAAGTAAAAGTAAATCAAATAGTAAGAAATCCGATAAGGATAAGAGAATATCAAAATACAATGAACTTGAACTCCTCAAATGAAATGGATAAATCCCTAGTGGACTTGCCCAACAGTTTCAGGGAGTCACGAAAAGTGATAAACTTATCCCAACAATTAAAATGCACTAAATCATCATCCTAAATAATAATAACTATGAACACAAATATGAACTGTAGACTAGTAATAATGAGAAATAAAGAATGATATGTAACTTACAGAACAAGGATGGGAAATGAGCACTGAGTTCTTGACTAGGACGACTGGAGCATAGGAATAGATGCTTCCACGATGATGGCTAAGAATGAAAATGCTGAAAGTTCAGACTGTTCACACTGACCACACTGACCACATCTCAGGGTCTATGAACTCCAGTGGGTGGCTGTTACTAGGGCAACCAGTGGGCCTTCCTTGTACCATTGAGCTAAACTAGTCTTAAAGGGGCAATGCACTGAAAGTGCCTGGTCACACATACAAGGAGATTTTTAGCACTAAGCGCGCGAGGCACATACCATAGTCATGGCCAGAGGGGTGTTTCACAAAACATGAATTAAAATTGTTAAACAAATTTTTGGTTGAAAGTTAGAGAGTTTTTTACCCTCGTCTTCAGCTCAGCTAATTATCGTCGTCCAGGCCCCTATAGCCGGTTTCAACAGACCAAGCACATATTTACTAATTTTCAAAAATAAACTAAACACTTTGGGCCATAACTGCTTCAGCACATGGGCGTAGCGAGGAGGGGGCAAGGGGGGCACTTGCCCCCCCCCCCCCCGGAAAAGTAAAAAAAAAAAAAAAGAAGAAAAAAAAAAAGAGAAAAAAAAAAGAAAAAGAGGCGCGAGAGACAAAGTGGTGTAAATTTAATGAGTTGGGGGGGGGGGCAACATGTCCCTGCCCCCCTCTAAAACTGATAAATCGAGAATATGTTGAGAAAAGCAAGCATTTTTGGCAAAAAAAAATTTTGCCCCCCTCTAGAAAAAATCCTGGCGACGCCCATGCTTCAGCACCTTTAAATCAGTTGTTCTCAAAAGCCTGTTAATTGGGGACTAATGACTGACAGTTTAGCTAATGTCTAAACTTTAGCGGCAAGTCTGCCGTTGTTAGGGAACCGTTTCAAACTCATGGGCGATATGTCGTAGCTGGGCGTGGTCCCTGTTGCCAACTCACTCAGGATTCTCCCCACTGCGGGCGCTAACTTGAAACCGTGACCTATAAAACATAAGATTTAGAGAAATAAAATCGGTCATCCTTGAAGCAGGTTTAGACAAGACCTAATGATCCATTTGGAATTGAAAAACGATGGCAAAAATACTTTTAGACTTCTCATAATGAGACATGGACATGACTGATGGGAGAAACATCACAAGCCCTAGACACAAAGCTATATGAGTGTATGTGTAGCCCATGTGACCTGTGACGTCATATCTACGGGTAACCGCGCGACAGGCACTACCTAAACATTTTAAGCATCTTTTGCATGTTATTTGAAGATCATGAATCCATATATGCAGTACAAGTTGTTCCTTCCATGGCCGCTGAGACAAAAGTGACAGCATGGCAACTTTTCTTAGATGTAAAGAACCAACCCTACCTCTCATTGGCCCACAGCCAGGTTTTGCCAAGTATCTCAGAACAAGATCTCTGATTGGCTGGTTACCCCTCTAAGCTTTTTCAGCCATTGGTTCCAATTCATGGCTCTTGATTGGCTATTTTTTATGATTACCGGATCCCACTTATGTCACAATATTTTCTGTGGTCTTTCGTGTACAAACGCTCTCCATAAGAAGGCACAGCGTAGTGAAATGCTATTACACTATGCAGTATACTGCCATCCTTTTACATTACATGTGAGGAATAGGGAAGTCCAAATGCAATATTTGCTGCTTATAAATAATTTGATCACTACGTGATAACATTTATTTCACCAATCACATTTCAAGAGTTACACAATGAGCAAATCATACTTTTTCTCTGGTCAATCCAGCTAAGTTTAATACTAACCTGAAAACCCACAGCCTATGACGATGTTAGGATGATCGGGATGCATGTCTAATATTATGTCTTTATCAGGTGTGCTCTACAAAATGAAAAATTGATGAAAATATTTTTAAAAAGGACGAGACCACTAAACTGATTATTTCCATCATGAATACAATATGTGGATAGCTCAGCTTGTTCTATGCAGAAGCGGCATTCTCTGTGCAGAACGAATCCTGCCGTACAGATATCTTCTTTTATCAACCCCAAAACCCATTTTTTTTTATAATTTGAAGAATACTGTTATATGCTATTGTTACACTCAATATGACAGCAGCTTGGGTTGTTTGTTTATTTTGAGACGAAGTGTGGACAACGTAGAGTTTTCACCACTTAAAGCTACAGTCCATCATTTGTAATTTGCGCATTTTGTTCGTTTAAAGCAACAAAAGACTTCAAAATCTAATAAAGGATACTGAGCAACTAACCTGATGAAGTATCAGCTAAGCTTCAGCTGTACATTCCGAGAAAACCAGCATTCTAAGATCTCAATTTCAAATCAAAAGTTACTGAATCATGTTTTGAATTGTTTTGAATTGCAGCTATACGCGACGTCGCGCACTGATCCGACGAATTATAACAACCGCGCGCGCGTGTGCGTCGTTCCAATACTTGTGCGCGCTGCGCTGAATAACAAAACGAACTACTAATTTAAATTTTCCTATGGTGCTTCTTAAGAATCACCGTTAGAAATGCCTTCTTTCGTTGATTACTTCAAAATTACAGCTTCCCAGAAAGAATAATTTCACAGGGAGTTTAGTTCCCTTACTATCTTTCAACCAAGTTTGTTTTTCAACAATAATTACGCCAGTTACTTTTCGGATGGCTGCAAATGATGGACTCTAGCTTTAACTATTACAGGCCAAATGAAAAAGAAGGAAAACAGTACTTGGATCAAAATTTTGAGGAAGAAAAAAAACGGGACAAAAGTATAGGACTTAGGGGGACAAAATGTAGTTAAAAGTCGGTCTTTTATGGGCTTTCATGATTAGTTTTCGTTGATTCTTGCACACATCAACAGCATCATAAGCCTCATATGGCATGTTCTGTACTCACAACACTCGTGCTCCATATCCTCAACTAAGTTCTTGGAAGTACAGTTGCAGTACTCCTGCACCCAAGCCATTCATTGTGTGATTTACATGACAGTGTGTAAAACTGTTATGAACAATGTTCAATAAGATTTTATTTTTCAGAGTTGTGGGACAAAAAAGTAGGAATTTTAAGGAAAAAAGTTGGAAAGTGGGAGCAATGTACGAAAAAAACCTAGTAAAAAGTAGGAATACTTGAAAGCCTGCTATCATCAATAAGGTAAAACAGTTGACGTTTTGGGCTCTAATACCTTCCAAATTATTATACATGTATAAACTATGAACTCTGTTGTCTCACTATGATCAAATTCTGGGGTTGACACTTTGAAAAATAAAAATAATAAATTTGGTCTTCCAGATATTATATTGCCATTTGACTCACAGTGTACAGGCACTTTTCAACGAGAGACGGTTCTGGAATGAGTCCGGGCACATGTTCTCTGATGAAACTCATTAACGTTTCAATCTGGTGTGAGTGTTGCGCCTGGTTTTGTTGATCAGGCCCTTGCAGCTCGTCACCGTGATCATTGTACACCTGAAAATACGCAAGCGAAAACTTAACACCATCTTCAGCAATAATCAGGTCGTTCAGAATACTCTGGAGAAAATTGAAATCAAACAAACTCAAAAGAAAAAGTGCTTGCGTACACTTTCATTTGTGTGAACTTTTTAAATTACTAAATATGCAGTGTATTAAGTGCTTCTAACCTATTCAAGAGAATTTTAACATAAATTACAAATGTTAATAATGGTTATGTAATGATTTCGCTATTTATGCATAGGACTGAAGAATGAACAAGAAAGAACATGAGCTCAGCAGGCCCGTTGCCAAGGGGGGGGGGGTTTCCTGGTGCCCCCCCCCAGCAAAAGCCATACATGTGTATTTTTAGGGTAGTGGGCTCCCTTAGTTAGTACCATCTCCCCCCCCCCCCTCCCTTCTCGATGCTCAGGGGTGGCGACGGGCCTGGAGCTCAGCTACTCCATTTGTTTTGAGTTCAAAAGAATCATTTCGGATGTTGAGGGTATATTTAGGGTCTTTTTTTTGGAAGCTAAAATTGCTGAAAGTCCAAGCCTGGGTGCACTGCATAAATACTAACCGGTTGAAAATGTAGCTTCTTTCAAACCATGCCATTTCAGGTGGAGTAATTTCACAAGGCATATATCAGTTTTTTCTTCACTTTGAGCAAGAATTTTCTTGGTACTTTTCCGGGTCTGGTTACCAATGTTTATACGTGCCTTTCAGTTTTGGCTTACGGTACAGTTTCATCAGCCAATAGGCCTGAGACCTAATGACGTCACGCTTTGTTTACATGTGCGCTTTCCTATGTGGTAGACGGTCCTACTTCATCTGGCGTCCCGACTTCGCTCCCATAGGAAAGCGCATATGTAAACAAAGCCATTACGTCATTAGGTCTTAGGTCTATTCAAGTCAGAGGTATTTATACTTAGTTTACCTTGAACAGCCCAGAGTGGTCATCACAGGGCAATCCGCATGTCTCGTATTTCTCCGAGAGATAGTAGAAGCATGGGTAGTTGCCGAATGCACCAGGCTGTCTCTCTGGGCAATAGCAAACTTTGAGTTGGGTGACCTGCTCGTTAAAAGAAAGTCCACTGATTACAGGAGAAAGACTTCACTGATTTATTCCAGGAGTTATATATATAAAAGACTTCGGTAATCGTATTCGGAATCGATAAAAGGACAATAGTTAGATGTTTTAAAGCAATAAACCTATAGGGCAATTCCACGGTTACTCACGCTACATTTTGGATGTACTTTTGAGTTTCCTTGGGCTGTAATTACCTTACTGAAAAGGTCTAATAACTGTTATCCCCATGGTAGATAGAGTAGACCTAGACCTACCTAAGCACCAAAGATGACATCCAGAAAAATGTGTTATGTATGATAAACAAGACGCACAAAATCGGTTACTCACATTACATTTTCGTAATGTGAGTAACCGATTTTGTGCGCCTTGTTGCCTTGGCTGACGTCATCCGATGAAAACATTTTTTCATTTGCACGCCAGTTTTCATCGGTTGCTATATGTGTTACCACTTCAGACTTCAGAACCATTGAGTTTCAAGAACATCCCAGATGTCCACGCCTTACTATCATCACGATAATAGATAATAATAATAAAATAATAATAATAATAAAAATATGAATTATTTAAAAAATGCTTTCTATGTAATAAAGACATCACAAAGCGCTGTACAATTAAAAATCCACACGTTATTAAGAAATACAGATAAAAAAGTTTAAAAACATACAAGCAGGCCTAATTAAGAACTTAACATTTGATAAAACGTTTGCCGACGTCAGGCGTTCCTGCTTTTGTTCAATGCCGTAACTGCATGCACACACGGTCCAATTTGCAGGGGGGTGGGGTGGGTGGGGTTACACTCACTTGTTTTTTTTTACAATAGATCCGAGAGTGGGAGGAGCACAGGCCTGGATGGGGGAGGGGAGGGTGTGCCCTTTAAGTTACGCAAGTGCTCTGGTAAAAAAAACAAAAAAACAGAGATTTGTGATGTGCCTGTTGAAATGATCGATATTTTCTACTCAAGCGACAATGAACACCGTACCTTCAGTGGAGGATCAATCCCTAGTGGTCTCAGCATCTTGGATGCCCAGGCTCCCGGGGTTAGGACCACACTCTTGGCTGTATACCGCCCTTTGCTGGTCACGATAAGCACAGGGTCGCCGGGGACGATTTCCAAGACTTCTTCGTTTTCCTTTACGACCCCTCCCTGTTTCAAGAACATTGTCTGATCGAAAAGAACAGAAACACGTTTGTACAAGAAACGTCTTTGAATTTCAAACCAATGAAAACCTATTGTGAAATTATTAATTGCTCGAACAAAAAGACACGGGGTTTTGCAGATTCATTTTCTTCCATCGTCTTCATTTTTGCACGAGTTGTTTTGATGTTGATTTAGAATTAAGCAGGTGTATTTTCACTGCCATTTAGAGAAAAGGCATAGCACAATGGATATTGTAAAAGTGAAAAGGTGAAATTAAAAACCTTTTAAAAAAAACCTAGATTTTCATATGTTTAACACATTTTTTGACAATCCGTCATGGATCCTTACAAACAATTTGTGTACAGAAACAATAATTAAATCTAAAAATTAATGTGGCCTGACGTTGCGAACTTAGCAAGTTCTTCTTCAGAGGCTAAAACATTTCTGTTTCAGCCTCTGAAGAAGAACTTGATAAGTTCGCAACGTCAGGCCACATTAATTTTTAGATTTATATATTTCAGGTCCATCCAGTCAGTAAGCAGTTTGCAGCAGTCTTACTTTTTTTCAGAAACAATAATTATAACATTTATCAATGGACAAAAATAAAACCATGATTAAGATGAGGGCTCTCTCAAGGAAACTTTATTGTAAAGACATAATATATGTGCTATTTCTAACCTTTAAAAAGTACTACTCTTTCTTGTCTTCTCCCCGAATTTGTTTCATTCTCTGTGCAACCAAACACATTGTGTATTCAATATTTTTTCCGGTCAACAACTGAAACATTTATTTTAGAAGAGGAACTCTCACACTATATCGTACATTGGAAAGCCCATAACATCACTAATGCTTGGATATTGCAAAATAATTCAAGTTCGACATTCTAGGTGCCACGCCCCCTCCTCCGGCCAAACACGGATTGTTCAAATAGTATTGACCTCGTTAAAGCAGAGAAAAAGACGGTTGTTCAAATCACAATTTATGCATCTTTAAGTTATGTATACATGCATTTATATTCCATAACAATACATGTGATGTATAGTTAATGTGCATTATAATCAGGTAGGCGTATACAAGTCATGCACCAATATTGTGCCGTGTGACCTTGTTTGTAGGCCCGTACAATTTCCTTCTCTTCCCCAGGCATTAATTGGAGTTCAGAACATTCTTTCTTCATACAATATACTGAATCTCACACAATATA